CCGACGTTCGCTGAAGCCTTCCAGCAGAAGACTGAAGAACTCCTCAACTTGAGGTGCCTTGTACTGGACCCCTTCTACCCCAACGGCCTACCACGTTCGTAGTTCTTTTTGGTGTTGATGGACAGGACAAGCATGGCTGCAGCGTCCAGCTCATCCATCTCGTCTTCTGCTTCTGCAAACATTCCGCATGTGACAGCAAATAGCCGCTTCCAATAAGGGATGCTTTTGTTGGCTTTGCTCCGGCGAACATGGACGCGTGTTCGGGCCATGGTCAGTGAGACAGAACGCGACCGCGTCGACCGCGCTGAACGCGACGCAAATTTCGCGCGGAGCTCTAATTGCCACGAGCGTCAACGCAGCTCACGTGTCAATGCCGACTCGGCCGATGACGTCATTGACAGATGGCATCACACGCTCTCAAGCTCATTCACTCATGCGCACCGGAAATCGACGACCGGAAATCCATTATTGAGTAGGACTATTCGTGTCCTTTTGTTCTCCAACACTATAACACCTGCAGCATGCTTGGACTGTCACCTCTCGCTGTTCCCTGTACTGTGTACGGCGTTCCGTGCCTGACTTCCTGATCCCACTTTGTCTCGGTTATCCTACTTCTTGCATACTCCTCGTCATAATATACGCGTATTATCTTCCAAGTGAGCGCTCTATTTACACCCGTGGACTGAACTCATCGCTGAGGTCATCTCCAGAGAATATACATCCGACGATCCATATACCATGGACGCGACTCTTTATGTTAACCTCCCCCCGACATACAACACCCTGGACTCGGTCGACCGCATCCGTCTGATGCGTACCACGCGCAAAGTCGGCGATATCCTCGGTGCAACACCGCAGCTACTCGAGTCTACGGCCTTGCCGATCACGTTGCTCCCAATAGGGCCCTCTAGCGAGCCTTCGGCGGATTGGCGCAAACATAGACGATACGGGTCCATCTTCGCGAACACCTCCGTCACTTCCTTGGCGTCCGTTGCGTCGACTGCCTCCTCCTCTTCCCTTGTCTCCTTCGAGGAGGAGGAACTGCCCTCCCGCGATGCCCAGCCGCAGGCGAAGCGGCCCCGTGGCCCACGGCCGCGTCCACTTCTCCTTCGTCTCAACCATGCTGTTCCCACCGTCTCGGTTGCGCTGCCGATCACCCCTTCTCCGCTGGCCTCCAGCAACGACGACACGATGATCCCGCCCACCCCCTGCACTCCCACCACGCCCAACCCTACGCTCGTCCGCCGCCGCAAGCTCGCGAAATTAGCGCGCCATCTTGGCGAGAACGTCCCGCCCGAGCTCGTCTTCCGTGACACGCCGCCCGTCGTCGATCAGTTCTCCTGCGCCGGCAGACGTCGTAGCCTGTCGATCAACGAACTGAGCGGCGGGAAGTACGCGCCCGTGTCGGGGTCCTACGTGAACTCTACCGTCCAAGGTGGCCCCAAGGCTGGTTGGGTCGGCCAATGGAACCGGAGTGATATCCGGGATGTGCAGCGAGAACTTCGCACCCTCAGGGCGCGGTGAGCAGGTCTCGCCGCTGAGGCCCTCGATTTTCATGCTCGATATGCCTCCATGATTATTTGTTTTGTGATATGACTATTGGATAGCCGTTTGCACGTTGTACGCTCTACCAGGTCAACTCTGTTGTTGGGTTGATGTATGCTCTGTCAGATGTGGAGGATGTCGTTCCTCTGACCCTTGTATACATGGTCAGATTTCGTTGATGTGATCGCTCTGGCTGGGTGACTAGTCGCTGTTATATAGCACATGTATACCATACTAGCGCCCGTAATTATGCATCGACTCTTATACAGTTCACGACCCCGATTGAATGGATTCGGCACCCGGCAGACACCTGACGCTGCAGACACGCGTGTCGCGTCGCACGTGACCAACGCGTCTCTTCCAACCGCTGCCGATATCTCGTGTACAGTAGGGCGAACTAGCGTCGCTCACCCACCACCACTATGCCAGCGCGCACGAAAGCGACACCCACCGCGACGAAAGAATCCCTTCAGAATATCCTGCCAAAGATCTTCGACCAGGCCCAGGGATCCACAGCAAACCACCAGAAGAACTATGTCGCCTTATACAAGCTACAGTCCGACCTTGCTACACATGTCGAGACAGTCAACCGCGGGAACGACGTGAAACTTGTGGGCGAACGGGCCTTTGAGGACGCGTTTCTGGACATGATCAACCGAATATTGCCCCTCAAGAAGGGAGTCACTCCGGCGGATAGGATCGTCAAGTTCGTTGGGGGATATGTCAAGTTCTTGAACGAGAAAGGTGAGTGATAGGGTCTATCTTTGTGCAGATATATTGAAACTTGCTTGTAAGCCATGGAAGACCGCAAGGGGCATGAGGACGAGGACGAGGACGAAGATACCACCGCATCCCGTTTCACGGCGCGGCTCCTGAAGTACCTGCTCAAAGGTTTTCCTGCGAAAGACAAGGCCATTCGATATCGCTCGGTTCGGATAGTTGCTGAGATGGTATCCCATCTCGGTGAGATCGAGTGCGTACAGACGCATGCCTGGAGCTTGGCAGCACTTTGATGCGCACTCTTATTTAGTGAAGATTCCTACATCTCCCTACGCAGCGCCCTATTCCAGCGCATACAAGACAAAGAAGCACCTGTCCGTGTCCAGGCTGTGATTGCGCTATCAAAACTTTGCGGTTCGGAAACGCCCGATGATCTCGACGATTCCGAGGAGCTCACGGCGACCGACCTTCTTGTGGAAGTTCTCGCGCACGACCCTGCTGCGTGGGTCTCTGCTTCTCGATGACATTCTATTAACCGATGCTGAAGGCACTCGCGTAGGGATGTTCGCCGAGCAGCCTTGCTCAATCTACCCTTGACTCCGGCTAACGTCTCCCCAATACTGGCACGTACTCGGGACACGGATCCGCTTATCCGCAAAGTCGTGTACTCCACCATACTCGAAACTCAAGCCACATCACACGACAACGACGGCGCTGCTATCAGCCCCGCACACCCCAGAGCGCTGACGATAGAGCAACGTGAGCTGATCGTGCGGAATGGGCTTGGCGACCGTGAGGGCTCCGTCCGCGCTGCCGCTGCCAGGGTGCTCGGTACGTGGGTAGATGTGGTGAGGGATACTGGATCTGAAGGTCGAGAGAAGGATGGTGTTAAGAAGGAGGGGGGCGGTGGGGAAACGGGGCCCGAGACCGAGCAGGACCTCATCGCGTTTCTGAAGATGTTCGACTTGGTGGAGGGGGCGATCGCCGAGGACGCGTTGCTGAGCGTGCTCACGACCCGAGTCGATGTCTTCGATTCCTTGGAATTCGGCGGTGAGTTGAAGTGCTTTTCAAATTTCAAGTCATATCGCTGATCCGAAACGATTCTCATAGAGAACTACTGGCGTGAGCTCACCCCGGAGAAAGCTTTCTTGGGCCGTGTCTTCGCTCAGCACTGCATTTCGACCAACAATGAGGCTCGACTCGAAGGAGCGCTACCAGTGGTTACCGCATTTGCATTCCAAATCCAGGCCGCCTATAATGATCTTCTCGAGCGCGTGCAGTTGCTAGCGGAAAGACGAGCCGTGGGCAATGAGATCGAAGAAGACGAACAGGATGAGCAAGACGCAAAGGAATTTATTCTAGGCGAAATGCTGCGTCTGGCGGTAGACCTGGATTATGGCGATGAGATCGGACGGAGGAAGATGTTCCAACTCGTCCGTAAGTACGATCTTCCTGGCTTGTACTCGTTTGATATTCATTAATACCACGCAACAGGTGATATGATATCGCAAGAACCGCTGCCTGACAGCTTGGTGACGCGCTGTCTGGATGTCCTCCGCAAACTGTCCCCCAACGAGCGTGATCTCATTCGTCTAGTTGTCGAAGTCGTGCAAGAACTGCGTGATCCTCCACTCGAGGAGGAAGAGGACGCTCTTCCTGAGGTTGACGCGGAGACGACGTTCGAGACTCCGAAGACTGTGAAGACGATCAGACCCGAGAAGAAGAAGGATGAGGATATGACGCCTGAGGAACATGCAAGGAAGGACGCCATGGACTTGCGCTGTCTGGATCTGTGTATTGGTATGCTGGAACGCGTGATGGGAGTGCGTGTTGACATTCATTGCAGCCACGTACCTGCTAATCCTCATCCCAGACTTTCGAAGAAAATTCCACTCTAGAGGGTATTCTGGGCGATCTGATCATTCCAGCGGTCAAGCGCAAGGAGATGGTCTTCCGAGAGAAGGGGCTCATCAGCTTGGGCCTCTGTTGTCTGATCGCCCGGGTATGAATGGTCTTCATGCAGTTGACGGTAGTTGACGCTGACGATGGCCTGTTGATAGCGCATGGCGCTCAACTCCTTTCAGCTCTTCCTCGGTCAAATTCACGCTGCCCCTGAACCTCTCCGGATGAGAGTCATTCAAGTCGTTTTCGATATCATGATGGTGCACGAAGGTGACTTCCTTGGGCGGGGAAGTCAGAATGTCCGTCGCCCATCCACATACGCGCTAACTATCACGACACACACTGACGTTGAGTGCACATGACAACAGGCAGAACGCATCGTCCCATTCTTGCTGGAAGTGCTCAACAAGGAGGAGTCGGAGAAAGTGACGGCGTTGATCGTCGTTGGTCTTGCGAAACTGGCGATCTCAGGAATGGTTACAGACGAGAGGGTCAGTAATCTCTACACTTTTTTTCCTTCGGTGACTGAAACACAGTGTACGATATTCTAGGTCCTGAAAAGCCTTCTCCTGACATACATGTCGCCAGAGACAGCGGATAATCAAGAGGTCATGCAGTGCTTGTCGTACTTCTTCCCCGTATATTGTTACTCTTCCTCTGCGAATCAGCGGCGAATGCAACAGGCAAGGCATCCCTTGTCGGCGTTCTCCCAGTGGCGGCTTACTCTCCTGTGCAGCTTTTCATTCCCGTGTTCCTTGATCTGGTCGAATGGCAGAGAGAAGCGGAAGGCGAACAAAGCACCGTCGGACCCGCTCAGATGGTCGTCATGTTGATTGATTGGACTGACCCTCAGAAAGCCATGTAAGTCTCAGTGAAGCAGGTCAACTGGCGACTGAGATTGTTACAGAGAAATTCAGGGCCAGGTTGTAGACGAGCTTGTCCACGTTGACTTGGCTGGAGAGATTCTGAAAGCTTTGTTTTCCAAAGATCTCGAGAGTGAGTACTGTGATGGCGCCTAATTCCAATACTCAAGACCCGATTAGAGGAGAATCGCAAAGTTCTCTGTCAAGTTCTCGGCAAATTATACCTTCCGGAGATGGTAGACGATGACAAGATCCGGACCCTCAAGCTCCTCGTTCATAATCTTCGTCAAGTCAGTCTCCATCTGTCTCGTCCGTCGCTAACAGATGATTTATCCTGCACCTCAGCGCCGTCCCCTCAAGGACACCGCCGCTCAGAATGCGATTGCCAAGTTCGAGGCGGCGATAACAAAGAAGTTCGAGAAACAACTTGAAGGCTTCGACGAGGACGAGTATCGGCAACTAGAGCAACTGAAGGAGCTCTTCGAATTCCTGGACGACATCATTCCCGACGATGATGAAGAAATCGAGATGCCCAAGAAGCGCGCAACAAGAAAAAGGTGAGCCCCAGACCGCGCCTAGTCTTGCCTGCATCGCTGAATGCCGGTGACGCAGACGCTCCGATAGCGTCGCTACGACTGTGTCGGCCGCCTCGAGCTCAGGGGAAACGGGAAACTCGGCGACTCCTGTACCGTCGAAAGGCAGAACACCGGGTCAGACGAAGGCGAAGTGCGTCAACCCTCGTATCGCGTGCCATGACGTGCTAAAGCTGGCATTCCGTTCTGTTATAGGCGACGAAAAGTCTCGAACTCTTCGGATGACTCGGACGAGGATACCACTGTCCATTCTCCCCCGTTCTCCAGCGCCCCGAGAAGGTCGATGCCCAGGCGTTCCGCGTGAGCTCATCCTCCACATACAACTATATAATTCGACTGGTTTTAATTGCATGGCTAGGGCATCGAAGAAGGTGCTGGCTGTGGAGTCGTCTACGTCGGATGAGGATGAAGACGAAGCTGAGGAGTCGACGCCCCCTGCACGTCAACGCAAGCCAGCCCCACAGAAGAAATCAAGGCTTGTATATTTTGGCCATCGTTAATTGATGATTCTGACCGTCTTCATAGGGGTGTAGTCCATCGAGTACAAGAGGACGAGTCGGAGGAGGGTAGTTCACCGTTGAGCGGGAGCGATGGACCAGCCGACTCCATTATGGACTCCTCTTCTGAGGGAGAGTGAAGTTGCGACGAACTCCGAACAAAACATGTTCTACGACCTCCGTCCTGTGCTTTCATTTATCGGTGCTTCACTACTACCCCATGTAACACTTCTACCCCCGAAGCATAACCACCTTACATGAGTTCGTACCATGACGTTCGGCGGTGTATGTACATATAATCGCCCAGATGTTCTGCGTCAATGAACCACATGATTGTGCAAGGGTCTACAACTGCTGTCTTGTGAAGGGCAGCATATAATTGAAAGCATACAAAGCGCCGGCTGCCTCCGCGATGAGAGGAAATATAGAGACATTCATGGCGTGCATAGTTTACCGAACGAAACCTGGCATACAGGACACGAAACACTGCGTTTCATCCAGTCATTTAAACACTTTTCGTGGAATCTACAGGCATATTCAGTGACGTCGGGAAGGAGTTAAACAGAGACTTACGCATGTTGACAGGCCGCCCCCAACGCCGCCCACTCCGCTTCTTTAAATTGTGATTGGCAAATACCGCAAGTCTCGACCGGCGCTCCTAACAGCGATAACTTGAGCTTGACCCGGCCATCCTTGGTCACCCGTCTACGCCCGACTTCAATTTTGGCAACAAATGGTGGGCTGTCCTCGGAATTATCATTTTCCTTTGCAACTGAATGTTCTTCGCCCATATGATAGGCTGAAGTCGTTACCAGCTGTGCAGACCATGGTCCCGATCGTCAGAACATTGCGACTCCGCATCGAAAACAATGCTAACCTCCTGCTTAACTGGCCTGTGCACCGAGATATCAGATCGCTTTGCGGGCGCATCGAAGTCCGGCTGCCTGTCGGTGTCGATTTCTTCGTCTTCACACCGAGTTCCGTTCGAAGCCAATTTAAGAGGTGATTGACTACTATGTGGGCTGTCTGTACGAGACGCTGCTGCATCGCTTCGTGATAATCCGACGTTACACCCAGGAGACGGAGGTCCACGATCGCCGAATCGTACGACCACAGGAGGAGTAGGGTACGAGTTTCCCGGCTCCCTCGAAGCCGCACTATTCAGCAGCAGGTGCGGAAGCCGTTGCCCATGCTTATCATAGACACTCCAGGTTTGGTTAATGGGAGTGGTTGGAGGATCAGGAGTAGAGCTCCAGCGTTCCGACGCTGTGGCAAAACTCTCCACGCTATCGCGCGGCGAGGTGAGACGCGAATATGCTCTCTCTCCAGGCTCAAGCACGGCGAGGGGAGAAGGAGGGATCGGTTTAAGGGGACTTTCCGTCCCCGTTACACCTGATAGATCAAAGATGACGCCATCCCGACGATCGTCGGTGTACCCGTGATGTGCTTGCGTGCGTCGGATAGGTGAGTCAGACCTGCGGGCGGTTGTGACAGAAATAGGCCTATCCTTCCTGCCTGTGCTCGAACAGGAAAGCTGGAGCATGACTGAAGCGGGAGAAGGCCATTGAGAGGAGTTGGGGGTATGAGGAACACACGCGCGTGCATTGATAGGCGTTCCTGCTGCGATCGGAGTCGGTGGAGATGGTAAAGGTCTACCGGGGTAGTGGCGTTTGTCGTTGATTTCAACGCTCGGACTCTTTGTCGGCACCTCCAAAGTAGCAGTCGGAGGGCGACTAGAGCTGTCGATGATCGTGTTCTGCTCAAGTGAACTGAACACAATCGGGTTATGGTCGGCAACGGTCCGAACCTGCTTATCGGTGGGAGGTCCCAGGGCAGATGGACGAACAATGACATTCTTGCGAGGGGTTGTTTTCATTATATCTTCGTCATTCGGTGGAACGCCCGAGTTGTGTTCTGCTGCAAGTGGGAAGTGGGTTGCCACGGGGGTGAGCGAAACGACATTCGATGCAGCTGAAGCGAATGGGTGCCGATCGCCCCTATTATCTCGTTCATCAGAAACCAAGTAAGGTATAGGCCTAGATTCCTTGGAGGTCGCCCGAGTTTCCGGTTGCATGAAGACAGGATATTCAATGCCATGAGAAACTGACGGGACGGGATCTGCTATGGCGTCCGCAAAGTGCGATTCGGAGTCTGGTGTACCGAGAGGAGATGACGTATTCGACTTTGTATATGGCCGACGGCGAGGAGGTGGAGGTGGAGGCGGAGGTCGCCGACGTGACGGCGTGGTAGGCGAAGCTGTTGAGGACTTGCCCAGCGTTGCGTCCTGGACCATCGTTACGGTCGGGAATGCAGATGTGACAGGAGAATCAGATTGCCCAGCCCCCACCACAGTGGGAGTGTCGATGACGACGGAGGGTGCGCCAGGACTGCTCGGCTGCGGGGACTCAGGATGTGAAGCATGCGCATGCAACTCCCCCTTGTTAGGTGAATGTGCGTCAAACCCTCCTGAGGAACCTAAAAGTTTCGTAAAGGAGAGGACGGAGCTAGAAGCCAGTGCGCCCATCTTCAATGGAGCCAGTGCAGGCGAGCGTCGGTTCTTCCGCTTTGTTGTCTTGACAGATGAAGTGGGCGATGGCGGGCGCATCGGCACTTGTTCCATTGAAATGGGTGTAGAGTACGACACTGGCAAAAGTTTGATATTGCCGTTCACTGCATCTGCAGTTGCTGGAGTTGGCTTGCCGGACGTGGGAGACGGGTGCGTCGACGAGGTGCTCGGACGTGGGCTAGGTAGAGGCGAGCGAGGGGGCTGCGGTAGGATTTCCCATTGTCCATCCGACTCTGAAGATGACGACGGCTTATGCAACCGGTCAACAATGGTGGACTGCTCGTTCCCCTTCTCGTTGCTTTTACGATATTTGAAGAGGAATCGTGGGGTCAGCTTGCGCTCGAGTCGCATGGCCAAGGATAGAGGGCTGGTTCCCGATGGCGAGGACGGAGAAGCAGGGCTCTGGGGATGACTCACGGGCGAATGCGAACGGAGTGATGTCCAAACCGAAGAGGGCGAGGAAGGAACGGTTGGCGCAGGTGACAATGCGCTGTCCTTGTTCTTGCGAGCTCTGAAGCTGAGCTTGCTGGTGGCGAAACGGCGCAGACTACGAGTCTCAGGATTCGCATCTGGAGAGGATGCACTGCTTGGCGTGGACTCGGAGCGGGTGGGCGTCGAAGGACGCATTTCGCTCGACGATCCTTCGTCGGTAGTGTCGCCCTCGTGACTTGTCTCAGACAGCGCTACATCGTCGTCCCTAGAGAATGGGTATGCGGGTGTGGTAACGGCGACCGCATTCCGTATCGCCGAGTTGAAAAGTTCTTGACCTGTATGTGGCCAGGACTCAGAGGCGACAGTATCAGCCCGCGATGGCTCGGCGCTAACCCTCGGAAGTGGAGGCACCGGCGGTATATCTGGATCGTTCTGTGTGTGTAGGGCTTTGCCCCGTGATAGTTCACGAGCAGACTCGGTACTCCTCCTGAGAGGTAGAGGATAAACAGATGTGGCCGGTGATGGACCAAAGAGGGGGGACTCCGACCGATCTCCACCGCTATTCAGTGGCAAAGATGTCGCAGAAGGAGGCGCCATCCCGCCGTAATCTTCGACTCGGCGTGCGGCTGGACTGTTTCTATCCAAGCCGGTGGCCGGATGATGTTCGCGCTCGTTGCTGACCCTAGCAGCCATTGAAGAAATTGGGGGTATGGACACTGGAACATTTGCATCGGCGATCAACATTCTGACCGGTGACGGTAACGGCGGCGGGATTCCTCGGGCCCCTTCTGAGGCTCGTGCAGGAGATGCCGAGCGGCCGGATGGCGCGGGCCTTGAATGAATGGAGGCCTCAATCAGAGGCCCAGGTTTGGATTCGGCCTTTGAACGAGTGCTAGTCGGAGCTGCGCGATCGGCAACCTCGGTCATTTGCCTGATAGCTTGTGAAGTAGTAATAGTGTCTTCAGGGCTCGGTGAGGAGAGGATAGATGCTATGGGCATATGTCCAGCCTGGCGGGAAGAAGATGGAGCAAGGGTCGTTGTCGAAGCTGACGCCGCATTGGTCCCTGCCCGGCGCATTAATCCGTTTGCAACGAATTCCTCATGCGTTCGGTCCAGGATACCTGATGCATCAGTCAACGCACCGCGTGCTATCGTTCTTGTTCCTGGCGGTCCTGATAATCCTGCGTGCAACACAGTCCCGGCGGTCGTTGAGCCATAACGATTGGCCTGCGCCCCATGGCCCGGATATTTGAAATTCAAGGCTCGACGCCGAGAGTCATCGAGTTCAACCGAAGATGCTGAAGTAAGGGAGGACGCGGAGTCGCCCCCTTCATTGCTTTGCGCCTCATCTTCATCGCTCTCCTCCGAGTCTGATGCAACGATGGACCCACTGTCGACCTCCCCGTGAAGTGATCTAGCCGTCGTGAGCGGCAATGATAGCGTGGAGGGGGGAAGGGGGATCATATGAGCGAACACAGGATGACGGCAGGTATGACATTGTACTGGGCTGTCAATAGGATGTTGACCAGCAAGTGGTGTTACGAGTAAACCCGGGGTGATAGTCTGCTGGGAGGTCGTCGGCACACCGAGAGGTGGAGCATGGGCGATGCCCACAGCCTCCTCGAATGTCGGTGGAGGGAAATCCGGGATAGTAAAATCTGGCAGCAGAAGATTGGATGTGAGCGCGGATACAACCAACTTGACAGGAACGGAAACAGTCTTATGTCCGGGAAAAGGGGTGTCGCGGATCACGGATTGGATTGCAAGGGCTTCACCTTCTTCCAGGATGCTATTTCCTGCTATGTGGCGAGGTGTACGTACTTCAGGGGAAGTGAGAACGTGTGCATGTAGAAACTCAATCGAAGACTAACCTTCCTCTACTATACTAACGTCCCTTCGAGATGTAGACAAAGACTCTGGAGATCTAGATGGGCGAGGACAGCATGGTTGAACGCTGGCTTGCTGACCTTCTCCACCGACATTCGATACTCCGGACTGTTGGCCTACAATAGATGATTACACCTCCTGCTGTAATCAAGAGCAAATCACCACGTACCATGCTCGATGAAGCTATGACCTCGCCTCTCGTATATCGCGGTCTGTCGTTCGAGAGGCAAATGCGGCTGAGAGCTTGATTGCATCCCCGAAGCTGGCAGTCGGTGCCTAGGCACTGGTTTTCCAACTGGCGTCATCGCAGCGTCAAATGGTAGAGTATATGAGCCACAGATATGAGTAGCAGCCTGTCTCTGCCTGGATCGAGTGCCAGCCTGAGGATTTGCCGGGTGCATATGCCCAGCGTTGTCAGGTTGAATGAAGGCAAGCTCGTTACGGTGCTGGTCGGGGTGAGTCAGATACAGCTCCTCACCACCCGATGCATCAGTCATGCGAGAAGAGCGAGACGGCATGCGGAAGGTGAGTCCGAACGTTACGGTATGCGCTGCAAGCCTCATGTTCTCCGTCCATGCTCATGACCACTGTCGTAAGATTAGACGTAGCGTGTTGTACACGAGTCCTTGTTCTAGAACATATCGCCCTCAATAGATGATTGAACTGGGATGAGCACTGTAAAGCCATTGGTTCGCCGTTGGACTGTATTCCGGGTATTCGGGTAAGTCAAGGGGAGGAGCGTGTGAATTGCGAGCTCGCGCCAACTTTCTACTAACTTACTTAGCGACTGATGGAACTCTCGAGATGATCGTGACCGCATTCACATTACACAACATGCACAACGGCACGGTTTTTATGCTACTTCGAGAGTACGAAAAGAGGGGACATCGCGATAGGCAGCGGATGGGACAGCGAAACAAGGTAAATAGTGGTGCAAATCCGGATACCGCGCCATATGCGAACAGAAAGAACGTATTACCAACAAAATCCAATTCGGATCCGCATGATCGAGTCAATCGTGAAAACAGCATACGATGATCAGAGTCCATGATAGAGTGAGAGAGAGGATATGTAGATGGGAGGGATATATATCGAGAGAGATCGTCTTCTTCCGCGCTCATACGAGCATTTAGAGGACGATGACGGCACCGGATACGATCGCGAAGACGGTCGCAAGGCCCATGCCGACAAGCGCACCAGTGCCGGGGATGAGCTTCGGGAGAGCACCGGAGCTGCTGTCCGAGGAGCCGGTACCAGACGACGATCCGCTGGTACCAGTAGCAGACGAGCCGCCGCTGGTCTTCTTCGAGCCAGACGCCTTGGCGCCAGAAGAACCGGTGGCAGAAGCAGAGCCTATGGTGCTAGTCACACCTTCAGCGTCGACAGCGAGGATGCCGTTCGAGATAGTGGAGGTGGTTTGGCAATTGGAAGATGAGGGGGTGAAGTAGGCGGACGACGGGGTGATGGTGTCGCCGACAGTGTAGGAGACGGGGGTGCCGTTGGCGGTGTAGACGCCGGCTGCACAATCACATTAAAAGTTGCCTTGTGCAGGTGAGGGATACACGTACTGAAGTACTGCGCGAACGACGAGAATTGCGTGGTTCCGTCAACGGTCGCAGTAGGGTACCAGCCAGGCGGGTAGGCGACATCAGCTTCGCAGCTCTCGAAAGTGCCGTTGAAGTTGTAGTTGCCAGGCATGACAAACTCGCATCCCATCTCGTCAAGCTCGTGCCAGCACATGGCGGCAGCAGAGTACGTGTCGTTGGCATTGGTGCATGCACGAATGCAGAACTGTTCGTAGGAAATGTACTCCTGTGGGAAGGTGAGAACTGTGATACTCCATTTCCATAGAAATAACGCACCATCCACTCCGCAACATTGATGTCCGAGCCGGTGATGTTTGTCGTGACGTTTCCACCAATGGGGTTACCAGAGCCATACGCGCCGTGAGGGTCTAGTTCACCACCGAAGTCGCCGTTAGGGATGAAGAGGTTGGTGAGGTTGCCGTAACCGAATATCTGAACGTAGAAGTCGGTCTTGACGAACGACACGCCGGTGAGGACGCCATCAGGAATGAGACGGGCGTTGTTACGGGGTTGCGTGCACCATGCAACCTCGAACGTCTCGGAGTCAGAGATAGGGCTCAAATACGGAGGGGCGAAGATGCAGAAGTCATCAACGGAGTTGAGTGTAAGAAGTCGTGCATCCGAAGATTGGTTGAGCGCCGTGCCCATAACGGCCTAGCATGTCATAAGTTCAACGGTTCGCCGCCACTCGCTTTGAGCACTTACGGCGGTCGGGTTCGTGACGCCCTGGGTTCCTGTGGCAATAACACCCTGGAAGACCGGTTAGAGGCCGTTCGTCATCTGGTCGTTGAAACTCAACAAACCTCAGGGAAAGACGAGGTTTGGGCTGCGGCCATGGCGGCAGCGCCGAGGACGACGGCAGCGGCGGTGAACATGCTAATGAGAGAGAAAAAAACAGAAGAAAAGTGGAATGTGCTGGTGCGCCTGAGGGCAAGCGGGTTTAAGAGGATGGGCAGGAGAGGGGAGAAGGTTGAGATGGGTTGCGAGGCCGTGACCTGGAACAAAGTGCGATCTATTTCCGGATACGACGCCTGCCATTGGCCAGGCCGCCGCCGCAGCTATATTCGGCGACCCATCGCTTTAGGGCAGGCCGTCCAGCGTTCGAGCACGTCGTCCAGCACGACGAGCGGGGCATCAGTCGGCAACCTCGAGGTCGTGGTCAAGAGCAAGGGAGGAATGCCAAGCAATCTCTTGTACTCCCTCGCTAGCAGGATGCCAAGAGCTGCGCGTGTCGCACGGAGACCGGTTTAGAGCACGCTTCCGCGGCCTGAGACGGACCACGAGGGCAGTCCTGCACCGTGTCTCTGTTCATTACGTAGACGAACCTCCACGGCACTACTTATTGTCTACACGCCAATATTGAATCAGCTGTCGATGCTGGCAGGATCAGGCAGGCCGATGATAACAGGAATTTGGCACTTCAATTTTTATGATTTTCAAACACGGATTAGGCTTTGCTTTCTCGATGACCTTTGAGGAAGTTTCTACGTCCTATTGCGATCAAGCATGGAGTTCATCGCGGCCGCGATCAATGAAGGAATCAGAAGATTGAATTATGGTCGCCTCGGCGCATATCTTGTTTGCTCTGCTGTTGCGCTTGGAATGGACACGCCCATGTCTGTTGTATCAATTGGCAAGTTGACTTGGAATTCGATGTGACTAACCAGTACTGTGATCATTCACGACGCTAGACCGAAGCCCGATACCACCAGTAGGCCAGTTCGGTTTGTATTGACTAAAGCTGCCATCGATCTATATACGAGTCCCCTTGAACTTATTCACCCTGAGGAATCAACCGTTAGACAAAGATCATCCGGGACGCGTTATCTCCGAGAATGTACCGCCATATGTTTATTAATGACGCTCTGCACGAGGCCCGATAGAGTTGAGCTATATAATGCGCATCTCCTTTGCATTCGCTCCCGCGAACGATGGCAACGGCCTCAGTGTACACTTGGCTAGTCACAGGGTGAGTCTCTTTCAGCGTTTTCAAGCTCCAGACATCCTGACGCCGCCGTCTCAAACAGGTCGTCTCGTGGCATTGGCCTCGAGATTGTGCGCCAACTCAGCTTGATCCCCGAGAATGTGATTATTGCGACCTGCCGAACACCCGACAAAGCGGAGACGCTGATGGAGCTCAAAGCTCAAGCGAAGGGCCAACTTCACGTTGTCAAGCTCGACGTCAGTGATGAATCTTCGATCAAGGGCGTAGCACAGGCAGCGAGGGAGATCGTGGGCGACAAGGGCCTTGACTACCTCATCAACAATGCTGCTGTCGTACGTCTTCGCCGACATCCCTGCATCCCTGCTATTCACCGCCTCGCATTGCCGCAGAACGAAGGAGATGTCCCCGCCTTCAAGATGGCCATACCGGTCTTGATAAATACCTTCCGAGACAACGTTGCCGGTCCGGCGGCCCTCAGCCAACAGCTTCTGCCACTTATTGAGAAGAGCAGACGCAGAACCATCGCCCATCTTACATCCGGTCTTGCTAGCTTCGGTCTGAACTTCGGAGGGAAGAATCCAAGCTACACAATCAGCAAGACCGCTCTCAACATGCTGGCATGTTCTTCTTACCTCCGTCCATGTACTTGGGTCTTCTCAACATGACCGGAACAGATGTATAAACAAGCCGCGGAACGGCCCGATCTGATTGTGTTTGTCGTCGATCCGGGCTGGGTGAAGACAGGTACGCGAGCTCGTCGGTGGACGGTATATTGGTATTCAATGTGGTGGGCCTTATCAGATATGGGCGGCCAGAACGCCATGCTGGAGCCTCAAGATAGCGTTTCAGACCTCATCAAGCTCTTCACGTCAGCGGGGTCCCAACACTCAGGCAAATTTTTCAATCATCGGGGCGAAGTCCAGCCGTGGTAACATATAAGAGACTGAATACATATGCGAGTCACATCTGTTCCCATTCCAGCAATCTGAGCAAACGTTCGGTTTACGCTGACGGGACAATATTCCTCTGAGATGGACGTCTATACGTGTTATGATTAGGCCACCCTTTGCAGGCTTGCCTTGAGCAGCGCAACCCATGAAATCGCATATTGACAATAGTAAGCCGTAAGCAAATAGTCGTGTTTATACATCATAAGGGTCGTGTTTAAACTCTATGATCGATCGTATGCTATTAGAAACCCAGGTAGAATGGAGCAAGAATTGCTCAGGAGGAACTGTTGCTTGCTCCGTTGCTCTCGTCGACATCGCTGGTCTTGACAACCTCCGCATAGGACACGCCCGTCTTCTCGGCGACGTTGGTCGTGTCAACGGTCTCCTTCACGATTTCGACGGCGTCTGTGGCCTTCTTCTCTCCCTGTTCCTTGCGGTGAGCAATCTGGTCAAGGATGGCAGATATCCGCGCGGTCGTGGCGTCGAGGAGGGGTTGAACGCGAGTCTGAACCGTCGTCGTGACTTGTTGGACTGTGCGAACGTCAATTAAGGCGAGCATGTAGAGCATTTGACTACTTACACTTCTCCTTGGGCGGAAGGTCCTTCGCAGAGATGATGGCAGAAAGTTGATGAATGGTAGTGCCGAGCTCGGTGGTGAGAGAGTGGAGCGTTGATTGCAATTGCGTAGGAAGCTCCGCCGTCTGCGCCTGTGATGACGCTGCATTGAAACTTCGTGACACAGTGAGAGTTTCGGCAACAAACCTTGATGGACTGAAGTTCAGACAGCATGGTGTCGGAAAGAGCCGTAACTCTGCCATGAGCAGAAGCATATTGCGCTGAGGCCGCCTTCGTGATGCTATCGGCAGTAGCCGTCGCACGTTGTCTATGAAAGCGTCCGGTCAGTGATGCTGTGGCCTAGGCCATCATGACAAGCGACTCACACCAGCACACTCTGGCTCTGCAGTTGCTTGATATGCTCATTCGAGTAGACATAAAGGCTGTCCCTGAGATTCTTCGAGAGATCGATCGCTCGTTGGTACTGGTACTTCTTTCCTTCTACAGGGGAGGAAGGGCCGGAGGTGGAGGTGGTGGTGGTGGGCGACCGAGACGGAGAAGGAGCAAGTTGGTTAACGTAGACTTCCATGTAGTCAACCAGAGGGGCGAAGCGCTGAAATGTTGTAACTTATTAGCAACTTGATCTGCAACGACAGAAAAATAGGTTTACAGAGTCAATAGCGGTGACTTTATCATCAATGGTCTTGGTTGCAACACCCTTGGCTGCATCGCTCCTGCCTTTCAAGTCCTTCACAATATCGTCCGCGTGCGCCTTGAAGGGGTACGGGTACCTTGACTCCACAGCGTCTACCACCTGATTGGCGTAACCGTCCGCCTTGACAAGTATAGGTGCAAGCTTGCTCTGGATGGGCGCAGTGTATCCAAGAGCAGTCTTTGAAATTGCCTGCAGCTCACCAGCCTCGGTGAAATCCTTGATGGAAATTGAGAAATGTACGCACCTGGGCATGCGCGTACGGTGAGGCCGTATACGCGTTCGTGGACAACGTGTTGTGCAGCGTCGACAAGCCATCGCTGACGAGCGGGATAGAGCCGATGCGCTGAATGATGGTTATCTGAGGTTGTGATTGTGTTTCGGTCGCCATTTCGCGTCGATCCTGCAATCGGGAAGACGAGGATGATGAAGATTGAGCGAGAGGTGAGGAGCGTTGAGGTCATTATGAACGGCGCGCGTTTTGCATGTGATTACGGGCCTTTCGATGGCTGTGCTGCTTCGCGTGCCTCTCGGCGCATCCCGCCTCCTCCCGCCCGTCCTCGGTGTGATTCCAGTGTTCCACCCGGAGGCCGCGCCTTGAAGGTCGCGCCGGAATGTTCCTCCACCACCACAACCAGCTCCGAGCCAGCCGAAGCGAACTCAGTGGTCATCATCCACAGCTGATTGAAGCACAAGATATCACGGGAATGTGCACTCTCGAGGGAGTTTCACCGCAATGTATGAATACGTCTGAAGAACTGCATGATACGCCGCCATATCCTTCTAGAGTGCGCCACGGCCTCTGGACCAGTCGAAAGAACGACGCCTGTCCATATGGTATCGGAAACCCTGCCGACGGCACTGATGGGCAGCGTACCGTGGCGAGTTGCGCCCCAGCACGGGCTATGAGGAAGCACACAGCCGCCAAAGGGTCGGAGTCACCTCGACATCAGGACGGGAATTCTCCCAGCGCACGAGCACGGAAATTGAGCGAGGCCCTTGAGCTTCCAGTCAGTCACCGAGTTCCCCTTTCTTGCCATATGATCTTCCCTAGTATATATCACAAATAGGTGAATCACCGGTCTGTAGCGCGGGTATGATCTACGTGATCACCAGCGTAGCAACGACTAAGAACACACTTATCTATCACCTCAGGTCCAGCATCTCATGGTCCACAGGATCCACAGGATCCATCGCCGCTTTCTCGCCCATCGCGTTCACTATATGTCCTTGCCTAGTGACGTCCGGAAAGGGATATTCCGCGGGCTCTTTCTCGACTTTCTCGTCAGCACCCTCATCGTCGCTGCAGTCTACGGCCTCTTCGATGATAGCGCCTTCTTGGCGGACGATCTCCCACGTCTGGTCCACGACCTATACCGTCAATGGAAACGCGCAGGGTCAGCCGATGGTCATGCGTGAAGAAGGTTTGAGAACGCACCTCAAGGTTCTGGGCCATGCTAACGTTCTTCACGATCATCCCCTCGTGTTTAGCATGGAGTGTCCGCCGCAGTGATCGAGTGAGGAATGAAGACATGAGGTTTAGTCGCCAGTCATCTGGCACTAGCTTAATCACCTGCGACTGCTGCTCAGCAAGGTTCAATCTAAAGCACCATCAGAAGAGCTTACGTCGGAGACATCTAGGTTCATGGCTTGGGCATCGAGCATACGTGTCGTGCGCTCCGCCGCGCCGTCGCTGCAGCACAATGCTGAGTCTCATTGCGACAAACCATTGATCGCGAATGCTCACCCTCCACTCATGTTCACCTCCAAGAGCATGCGCACCAACTTCTTCTTGGTATCTTCGTCGACGGCCGCTTGACCTGGAACACTCTCTGCATGACCTTTCGAGATGTGTGGAACAAATAAGGAAGCCCAGTTCCGCAAATCATACTCTTCACCGAGCATCTGCGCTGTCCTCGGAGGTATGACCTGCCCACCGAACGAGCAATACACTTCCGCCGAGGCTGCGTCATGTAAACCGTGCACTAGAATAGACAACGCCTCGCGATCATTGCCGAGCTGGGGCGCACTAATCAGGTCACAGCGATCGCGAACGTGCGCGCAACACATTCACCTTGCCTTCCACCATGGCAAGTTCCAGCCTCAATATGGATTCGTGTTCTTTTATTCGGTCTCGGATCTTCTCCAGGTCATAGAAGTTGGAGCCCTGAAGAAAGAGCGCGGCTTTGAGCCGCGCCCGTTTGTGCTCAGAATTTGGCGTAGTGGCCGCAAAGTAGCTCAGGAAGGACTGATTCGAAGGCGTTGATGCATAGGATGCAACTACACGAATTCATCAATATACTTTGCAGCATCGACACGAGCTGGCAACGAACCTTTCGCTCTCCACAACTTCGAGGTTGAGGAATCTGAAAGTGCCGCCTCTAGATGATCCACGCAAAGCATCGCAAGCTGGGTATGTAGGTTTTTATCCTGGCAATGAATGGACGTAAGATCCTGCATGGCAGAACAGTCGGGAATGTGCCTCACCGTACTTCTTCGGGTAAGCACAAGATGGCCAAGGAAGTGCGCACCGGCAATTGGGTTGGATTCTTGGATCTGCTGTAAGAGAGCAACGTCCTCTTCCAACGTCGCCGTGGTTTTCGTGTTCCGTCTCCCGGGCTCGCGAGCCGTCAACAGCTGTCCAAACATTCAGCGACTGCCCGGCAAGGTATGACGAGCTAAATCACTTTGATTCCCTGTTCGGGATCGCGCGCAGTCAACCACAAGCCCCATTTCTGGGTAAGCGAACGATCCTTTTTCTTGTTTAGGAGTGTGACCATATTGCCCAGGGGATCCGGAATATCTTCGTCCGACCAAGAGCCTTCGACGAGCCTGAGGCAATCAATTCAGCCAGACTAATAGCCAAATGGAGTTATGCGCACTTTGACCAAGTGTCGAGCAGTTTTTCATCCATTCCTCGCTGTTGGAACAACTGGCACAGCGCGTTATACTGGCCTGTGCTGATGAACATGCCCTCCACTTCCTCTACGACGATTGCATGCTTCTCCCTGATGAGAGCGTAGAGGTCGGTCGTCTTCTCGTCACGCGCAAATAACTTCGCAAGGACGGTATCTACGGTCTGAACAATGACTATCAGTTATCCTGGTACCGTGCTTGGACCTTCACGAAACGCACCGCCAGAACAACTCGGGCGGCCTCTCTACGGTTGGCTCGCCTCCACTTGCGCAAGAAGTCGCTTAGCATCTGACCCGCATTCGCCTTGAGTATTTGCCGCAGCTCGGCGGTAGCCGGGGCATCACGAGTATTGGGAGCAATGTGAGGCGAGTAGTTCCTGACTAGGTTCGCAGCGACTGGTTATTCATAGTTGATATAATGAGACACGCGCGGCAAGGGAAGTCGAGCAAACAACAGAAGTAGGAAGGAGGTGGATGAAGGGACGACATGGCTCACTGAGGTCATCTACGGAAGCATCGAGCGGTATGTGCTCGGCCACGCCGCTGAACATCGGTACCTCGTCGCCTGCTTTGAACAGTCCACCCCGCAGCTCCGGGAAGTAGCTAATCAGAATGCGTGGATCCATGTTGCCCATGGAGAAGTGAAGGCCCGCATCCTCGAAAAGGGTCTCCGAGAAACACTGGAAACCAATCCGTTGGTACACGTAGTTCAGTTCCTCGAGCTAGTTGAGGCAGCAGTCAGTGCATGTTCACGTCTGTTACGATTCCTTGTGAACACACCTCATCTTCAGCAACGGCGAGCTTCGTTTCCAGTTTCCTCCGCTGCTGGTCGGCAAGTTCGGCGGCTTCCTGAACGCGATGGGATTGAAGCAGCGCCTCGACTTGAGAGATGAGAGAAGCCGGAAGCAATGACTGGATGGAGTTTGCTCCTATGACTAGGACTCCAGACCTAGTAAGGGTTGCATTGCTGTTTGGCATGCAGTCGAACAATGCGGGTGGTGTACTGGTAAGGAAGTACTCGAGTTCGGCGAGATCCTTCAGCTGGAAGACGTCTGACGCGCGCCGCGGCTGTGCGAGCAGTGCTCTGGCATCTGGCGCAGCAAGCACTCGCCAGCGAGTCAATTTATCTCGTTGAATCGTCACTATCCAACGAATGCTTATGCCTGCCTCCAAACAGAGGAAGCAGGATACCGTAAATGTAATCATGGAGATGCTATGATAATGGCAGGTAATCCGAGTCCTCAGTGCAGTCCCTCGAATAACCTCTCGCCGGCACCGAAAACGACGCGGCCTATCTTCTTGACGCCTCCCCGAGTCCAAGTTCTCAGATGACCATGGCCTGGAGGACGCCCCGATTCACCGACCTGACGACCGTAGATCGCCAACGCTACTCCAAGCACGAGAACCGCACCGGCAACGAGCATCTTGCGCTGCTCGACCTCGACGCCGCCCACGTATATCGTCCGTCGCCTGCGCGGTTTCGGTTTCTTCAGCGTGCGACGACGACGTTTACCTTCCTTCTCCGTATCCGATGCCCCATCCGTTTCCATGTCGTCTGGCGGAGGCGGCGGAGGAAGAACGATGAGCTCGGGGCTTAGGACCATGGCTTCCGCTTCTTCGTCGTCTGGCATCTGGGCGGGGTCCTCGGACCAGGTGAATATAACGCTCTGTGGACCCATGATGGAGCGCAAGGCAAGGGCGGGATGAGAGGGAGGATGTTGCTCATATAGAGCATCGGCACTTGTCAATAGTGCTGTGAGAGACGTCCGGACTTTGCGAGGAGTTGAGGAGCTCTCCGCAGGAGAAGGAGGTCGCTCTTCGGAATCATGGATATCGGCATCTAAGGGCGGAACGTATAGCGGCACATTTTGTAGTTCCGCGAACAAGCTGGGTTCGGTGGAGGCTATAGGAATGGGTGACCCTGACGTCGCACTGGACGAGGGATCTGTCGGCGGAGTGGTCTGGCTAGGGTTCGCCTCCGGCGATGGAGGGGAATGCTTCGCAGGCGCCATCTCTTTGTCGTCGGGTTCTCCGTATATAGGCACAGCACCAGCGATTGCAGAGGAAGATGCGGGCTGTCCACCGTCACTATTGAATGCTGCAGCGTCATGACAGGCAGACGAATCTATCGAGGAACTCGGTGGGCTGTCGTGTAGCTCCGGTTTGATCTCGGGGACCGTGTGTGGGCGCATCTCGAGATTAGAGGCATCTTGGCACTTCCCAAAACCGGTAGGCGCATCGGATTCTTCGCCCTCCTCGTATAACTCGGGAAGGCCGCTGAGCAACGAATGTACCATGCCTTCCTCGCCTTCCTGTTCCAAGCGTAGCACTTCGTCTTTCCTCGTGAGCAATATCTGGACGAGTTGAGATTATGACATCCTTCGAAGTAGGTCAGGATCTCACGTACAGCGGCAGCAAGGTATACGCTGGCGACTGGCGGTCGGCATAGCAGGAAGTCAAAGACATGTTGGATGAGTGGTAAGGTCGGTACATCGTGTGAGAACAGTGTGAGGAGATTCGACAAGGCATAATAGGGCAGGGGGGATGCGCTGCAAGAGCGAACATAAGAATCCACCTTCAAATTGCGACAGGGTGCAAGTACCTTTCAAGAACAGCTGCAAAAGCCGCATCTGCAGCTCGAAGCAAGTTCTGCAATATTCTGTTGTAAATCATGAATATCTGTTCGCGTGCAATATTTTGCTTAATTTACCGAAGTTGGCCTATGATTGGTTCCAAACTGGTGCCCATCGCATCTCGTAGCCGATGAAGGCTCATCTTCTCTGCACAAGGGAGCCGCGATTCTGAAGGCAACGTGAGAAATAATACAGTCATAACATCGTGGTATCCCTGGTGGCCAGCATGAACACGCTTGTGGAACAGAAGTGGCAAATTGGCACACCTGGAAGTAATTGAGCTTGGGATGTCGTCGAAACATAGTTACTAGCAGGTCCCGTAATCCTTCTTGAAGGGATTCTCTATCGTTGGATTCGTCTATGATAGCATGAGCAGTGAAACGGTTGGATTTCGAGGATGTAGTTCACCTACTGGGTACAAGACGAAGCTACGGTCCGTGTCAAGTTTTATCTGGCGTTCGTCCGAGTGCTCCGACATAGACAGCGAGGCATTAATGTCTTCCCCGTCTCGTAGTAATGCATCTTCGGCGTGAAGGAGCTTGGGCCTGATCCATCGTTAGAGGGTCCTGACAGTTCCTTGAGTCCCGGACGGTGCACACCAAATATGCACTCGTTCGTCTCCAAATCCGCCAGGCGCGATGCTACGTGCACGAAGAAACCCCCATTTCAGGTTCTCAACGGATGACTTCTCGTCTTGCTCAGGGGAGGACATCCGACAGGTTGGTACGGAACAGGGCGGCTCAAGACCTGCTGCGCGGTCCTCAGTGACGTCGCTTTCAGCGCCGTACCGCCATCGTCAGAGCTTTGGGCGCTGTCGGGCACAGCTTCACGCGAAGTTCCATCCCCCTCCCGCGTCTTTGTGTGCACCACGTTTACTGTTCGAATCGAAAGAGGACGGGGCAGGTTTAGCGCAGATACTGTAATCCTTTGAGAGATGGTCATACTCCGCTGCGTATCATAATGAGGCAGCGCAGTATTTGACTTCAACTTCAAGCGCGGGGGAGAGAGCGCGATCACATGCCTTTTTACAACGGTCCCGTGCCACCTTGGCTCAGCGCGCGGCGCCGCATACCGTCGACTATCCCCTATACCTGAACCGCAAGACAACAGTGCTTGTATCATATCCAGAACTATCCTCAAGAAACTCCCGAAGCAAACTTGAGCTTTTACTATGCCTACCAGCTCCTCTTCGCAAGTGCGACGCACCGCATCAACGCGTTCCACTTCGCGAACCTCCAAGACGACTGTGGACGATCTCGCGAACAGGTTGCAGTCGAAATTGACGATGTCTTATGAAAGCAGAAAGAAGGGTCGCACGGATGCAAATGCAGCCTCATCCAATCCGGAGGATCTGCGTCTGACTGCGATGCGAGCTGTCGATGCAGCTTCTCAGAAATTATCGGTTGTATTGCAGTCTGGCTGGAGGGCATCGGCCCCCATCAAACCATCACGATCCAGGAAAGACGTTGATCAAGATCCGCAAGCTCTCTGGGAGACAGCAAGGACGTCCCTTCAGAGGTTGCGGTCCTTCGACAAGGGAGAAGAAGATATCGAGAGGGCTGCATTGAGCATCACCAGCAAGCTTGTGGCGCTGGAGATGGTGAGTCTCGTTGTCATGAGAGTGTTTATGTACGCGAATCTCAACGGATCTCAGTATTCCGCAGCAAAGGATTCGTTGATGGACATGCATCCGACTATGTGGCGATGGGCATGCGGTGAAGCACCACAAACTTCCGGAATCGATCTATGCCACCTCCACGTACCTCCCACTTTATCCGCGGACTTGACTTCCAGTAACCACAAATTGGGGACTATCACAAGTTACCTCCTATATGCCAACATCGCTCGTGTCTATACACTGCTGGCTGCGACACAAGACGAGGACCCCAACCTAGAAGCCGAAATACTGCCGATGACGTTGGACCTATGCCTCCTCAAGTGGATCGCCCTAGCGTCCCCACACCTCCCACCTCACCAAGCGACCAGCCTTCTCACCAAAGTATACACCGCGGTTATGCGAGCCACATCGGGTCATTCGCAAACGCATCCTAGGAGCATTTTCGCCCTGCGCGCCTACGCTCTTCTTCATCTAGCTCGGGCTGGTGCGCAAACGACGACGCCGGATAGCTTCTGGGATCAGGCCGTTCGAACTGCGAAATCTCTGCTGCAGAATGTGGGCTCCGCGAAGGGAGAGGTGCTTAAATCAGCTCTTGAGGCGTTCTCAAGCGTAGAAAGAGCTGCACGCGATCAAGGGTTGGCCCAGGGGCGCGGATATGCTAGTTGGTGCGAGTATGGCACCGAGTTGGCGAACCGTGTTGGTGATCTGTCCGAGCTTGGACGCATTGCTGCGTCCATGAAAGCGCTCTCGATATCAGAACGGTTTACCTCCGCTTCTGCTAGGGACGCTCCGGTTGGTGATCCTTCGTCGACCCTTGGGGTCGTCAGTTCAGGATCGCGAAGTCAAGAGGGTGTCGACCAGTTTATGGTCGCCTCTTCAAAGGTGGTGGTTGCTCTCTCGCAAGCCATCGCCATATTCGAGAAGCCTGAAACAGGTAGCTTGACCTACGTTCCCTGTTGCATTTGACGCGTTTCTCATTCTTGGTTTCATACGCAGATGATGCCGGCATACGGAAAGCTGTCGCCGATGTCGCCGGCCCTGTATCTGAGTGTCGTCCTTTTCTGACTCTACCGACTTGCAAAAACGATGAGGATGGTGCCTCGAGTCAGGCTCAAGACATGGAACGGGCTTGTTTCAAGGTTCGAAGGGCTCTCGACAAGCTCCGCCGTGCTGCTATCAAGCTCGTGGATCGTGGTGATGAGAAGGGTTCGTCTGTGAAAGAAGAGGTTCTGGGGTTTCTCGAGAAGATGATTGAGCTTTTAGAGTCCACGGCGAAGAAGGTTAGTGTAGCTGCTCGTCGTCCATACGTAAAACGCAGCTGATGGACGATGAAGAATCCCTCAGAAGACTTAGTGACACCTGCGATTGATACTTTGTTTCTGCTTGCGCGCATACGACTGGTGCCCCAGCGGACCAGTACCATCGCCCTCTCCTTCGAGCTCCTTTCTCGGGCACTCCGGCTTATCGGCGTAACTCCGAGTCCTAATGACGTTACGCCGCAGCCGGACGACTTATCGATCAACGAGATGGAGACAACCTTCGGCGAGGAGCGCGCGGCGAACTACCTCCGTTGCATATCCGGTGCATATCACAACCTGGCGTGCGTGCTTTACCAAGCGGGCATGCATGCCTATGCTATCCGCTTTTTAGTCGAAGGATGTCGTTTTGGGCTGAAGGCCACGCGAGCACACGAAGATGCATCCAGAGCGAAGACCCCATTAATGTGGAAACACGAAGACGCCTGGGTGCAATTGCGAGGCCAGTTATACAGGAGATGGGAGCTTCTGGGGGCGTGTTACTCCAAGATCGGTGATACTAAGGTAAGGGAGTCGCAAGTATGCCAGATTCCATTGCGCTCATGTTGTTCAGGCCGCTTACAATGCATACGTTCATGCTATCACTACTTACCCCTTTCTTGAACCCCCGTTTCTTGATTTAGTGGAGTCGGGAAACATAACTAAGGCATTCGAGGCCTCACCCGCTTCAAGGCAAATTGGGAACATCATCGACCGGGTTACATATATGGCGACGCAGGATATGTTCCGCGAGCCGGAAGACGTTCCGTTGACGTCAGCATTTGAGCACGCTTGGCCAAACGGCGTTGAATCGAGGTTTAATCTTGTGATAGCCGCAGTGCTGGAGAGGCAGGCCGAGAGTCTCATAGCGAGCCGATGGAAGGAGAATGTCAGCATCGCGATCCTAGCGTTGCTGGAAGCCGCGCTTGCGATTTATACACCAGAGAAGTGGCCGTATAGAAGGGCTAGATTGCTGCTCAAGATCCTCGAAACCACATATCACACCAGTGCGGAACCTGTTAGAAGGAGGGGTCGGGACTTTCAGCAGATAGGCGAGGAGATCCAGAAATTAATCGCCCATTCGGTACGCGTTGAACCTCCGCTCGTCCACGCGTGTGAGCTAATTCCTGTGAGCAGGATATCGGATGTGATGATGTTATTCGGATGTACGGAGACGAGTACATCGTCTCGGCGCATCTGTGGATATCCTTACACTATCATCGCGAACAGCGTGTTACGGATTGTCTCCAGTCAGCTCAATCCGCCTGGGACGTAAGTAAGAGGAAGTTCCTCCATCTCAGTCAGCGAACCCCCGCCAAAAGCATGGCGGCCAAAGGGTTGAGCTCTCCAAAGAGGGCCAGAGCGGCGCCCAAAGGCAGGACAACGACGATCAAGAAGGGCGCTCTACCCAGGCCCTCAATACGGCCCGTAGTTTCGGCACGCTCGAAACAATCCCGGACAACGACATCTCGGATTAAAGCGAAGGATCCTGTCACCCCGAAGCCTCGACACGGTGACTGCTCATCAAACTTGCAGAGCGCGACCAACGGGAACTAAAGAATCTTCTCCCAGTGTTTGAGGCTCCCTCTCGTAGCCCCGTCACACCGCCACGGAAGGCAGATGCTGCTGTATCAACGATGGTGCTCGATAATCCCGAGAAGTTGTTGACACTATTCGGTAAGGTTGATCATTGCCGCGGTTCCTTACGCTTACCCATGGAATCCAGACACCACGTGTCAATTGATTGGCCTCATCGGTCATATTTCGCTGAGGATCAGATTACTCAGCGTCGCTCGGCGAATATGTGAATCATCTCTGGACAGTCATATTGAACGTAAGTAAGTTACAGAGTGCCCGTGCAACACTGATGAACCGTCCATGGTCAGGTTTTGTCAAGGTTTCCACGGAGTTGGCTCGCAACTATGCCACTCTAGGAAAATCTTATAAAGCAGCTTTGATATTCCAACAAGGGGCGGATGTCATCAGCAGATTTCAGACTCGTGTATCAACTGACGTGCGCCTGCTCTTCCTGCTCCACCATGCGGCCACTCTGGCATTGATGGACGATATTCATACAAGGTCGCTAAATCCAGATCTCCGTCATATCCGCAGACAAAATAATGATGTCTTTTTAGTGCGAAGCTCTACTGCGAGGCCGTCGCACTGTCCAGCGCCACTAAGGACGAAGAAAGGGGCGTCTCCACCAGTGATCGGGTTCGGTCTCGGGCTCGGCGCCTAGTGCGAACTGCGACAGCATCGGATGTGTATGCTATCATCCAATCCGCGAGGGTAAGTGTCAAATTTCGGACTTCGCCACCCTTCTTAGCGTTTCATAGGCTGAACCTGCTGAGAGTCTGAGCGCAATGTTGCGATCACTCCGCTTGTGGAACCGTGCGGTAGAAGCATTGTCCCGATTAGCTCCCCGACCGAACGTAGCCCAGGACGACAATCCCTTCGACACCGGCGAATCACAGACTGAAGATCCTTCGCCTGGGTTTTTTATCAATCAACCAGTGAAGGATCACAATGCCTCTCGAGTATCGGTCATCGATGGTTCAGAATGGGCAATCTCAGAGGGTCTTCTCCTTGCCATGTTCTCGGTTAGTCGGATGTACCTCGTGCGAGGGTCTGCACGAGAAGCGCAATACTTCGCTCAGCAAACCGAGGAGCTAGCCATGTCCTTAAGTGCATATGCGATGATTGCGAGAGCACTCGCCGGACAGGCAGAGATACAGCTACATCTCCGGCAACTTGAAGATGCCAAAAATCTCATTTCCCGTGCCGCTGCGATGGTGGAAGATTTACCTGGTATCGAGGCAGCTGACATCTACCGCCTTCACGGCGATTACAACAGACTATCGGCTCGTCGAGAAGATGCTCACAAACTTTACACTGAGGCTACAGCCACGCTGGATGGCCTTGCTATGTCGTTCTCCGTTATAGATGCTCTTGTGACGAGGTATTTTGATCGTATGGATGTATCAACATGGTGCTCATTTCTTCGAAAGCCAGCGAAGACCGAGCACAGCTACTGTCACCAAAGCAGAAGATTCGAGCTTCGAGACATTGGCACCGCGTTTACTGTCAACTATCCTGTGGCAACAAAGTATGTCGCACGGGTTCAGTCTGCTGAGATGGGTTAATCGCCTTCATTTAGTATGGCTGCTCAGGGAAAACGTCAACGACGAAAACTACCGAGTTTTGCTGGACAGACTACTCGCTCTGCCATCGTCAACAGACGTCAAGGCGAGAATGAAATGCACGCGCACGGGGCACGGCAACTGATGATCATGTTCTAGGCGGAACAGAACTCACTGATCGCAAAGCTCACACTACATGACATCTTCTCCCGATTTCGTTCGGATATCTATTTGAGCACGCTGGGCGAGACAGGTCAGTCCCAAGACCGTCGGTGCGCCATGATTCTAACAATATACCAGCAATCGCAATCCCTATGGGCATGTTGAGCGATAAGGGCACAAGCCCGCCTGCTTCGTTACAGGAGGTCCTTGGTATATTTGCCGGCGCCGAGCAGCTTTGGTGGGCTAACCTGGCCTCAACGGCAATGAAGGGCGAGGTTTTGCGCGTCCGAGACGGCGCTCTATCCCTAGCATCGGTGCAGGCCCTTCAAGCCTCTCTAGGGCAGAATCCGGAGACAGGACCTATCGTAGCCATGCGACTCCTTGGTGAGTGTCTCGAGATTTCTCAAATATTATCGCTGAGATATAGGCACACAGATATCGCGGCATCGTTGACTATACGCCGTGAAATGCTCGAGGCAACTCGTCACAAAATCTCGGAGCTCGAGGCAGGAGATGACCTAGCGTGGTCGCTGATGACGCCGAATGGATCGCCTCTAGGGCCCGCAAGGAACAGCACCCCCAAGCCAAGCTGGGACTCGGACTCGGAAGAGGACGAAGACAGCAACGCTGAAGCCGACGGGTTAAGTGTCTACTGGAAAGGGATTTACGGCAAATATCAACAGCTGCCGATGGATGTCTCCAGCCTCTCTTCTTCTCAGGCTGAGCAGCTCCCTGATAATTGGGTCGTTGTCAACATCAATCTCGCCGAGGACCGCGATACCTTGTATATCAGCAGACAAAGGAAGGGCAAGGACTCTCTTATGTTCTGTCTGCCCTTGAAAGGTAGACGGGATAGTGACGAGGAAAATCACCTAACACTCGACGGTGCGGTGGCTGAGATGAAGGATATCGTCAAGCTTAACGACGAGGGAACCAGGAGTGCCGCCACGGTCGATGTCAAGGATAAGCAGGCCCGGGTAGCATGGTGGGCTGGTCGTACCGAACTTGATCAACGTCTGCGAGACCTCTTGGAAAACATAGAGTTCTGCTGGCTAGGGGCATTCAAGGTATGTCCTTCGAGAATCGTCATCGCTATGTCACTGACCTCACAACCACAGACAATCCTCAGCCCAGCGATCGCTGTAAACGGTGGTGCCCTTGCCCACTTTCGCGAAGGTCTGGAAAAGGTTCTCAAGCGCGGATTGAACTTGCGAAACAAGAAGGAGATGTCACGCCTACGGCTGAGCGACGGACTCCTCGAATGCTTTTCTAATCTCTCCCCACAATGCCGCGATGAGGAACTCGAAGATCTCGTCTATTTCATGCTGGACCTTTACCAATTCCACGGCGTAGCTGTTGCTGTTTCGGAAATCGACGTGGATCAAGTGGCGGTAGACTTGCGCTCTGTTCTTGAAGAGCACGCCAAGCGCAGCGGCTCGCCTACGACAAACAACGACAGCCATCTGTTCCTCGTTCTGGATAAGGATCTTCAAGGCATTCCTTGGGAATCCATTCCCGTATTGAGGGGTAAAAGTGTCAGCCGAATTCCGTGCATGGAGTTCCTGTTAGACCGCCTCCAATTTGAGGATTGGCAGAGGTCATCGGTAACTGGCTCCTCCCCAAAGCCAAACAACAAGGCCGCGGACCGGGCCACCGTAGACCCGCGGAGAACGTACTATCTCCTGAATCCCAGTGGAGATCTTAAAGGAACTCAAAGTCGGTTCAGCGACTGGCTAGAGACGATGAGATCTGTGGGCTGGCAAGGTATTACCGGGCGGCCGCCTAGTGAACAGCAGTTCCTGGATGCCTTGAACCGGAAAGATCTCGTGATGTTCGTTCTTTGTTTCCCCACCGTAAAGCGGACATGATGCTGATGCTAGTTGACAGCTACTTCGGCCACGGAGGTGCAGAGCAATATGTTCGCTCGCACAAAGTCCGGCACTTGTCACGTTGCGCAGCGACCTTGCTCTGGGGTTGCTCGTCAGGTGCCCTAAAGGAGATGGGCGACTTTGACCGGGTTGGTACACCCTATAACTACATGGTCTCTGGATGGTGAGTTGGCTCGTCATTATGATCATGCCACGATCCCAACCTTTTGTTGGTCTAGTCCAACCCTTGTCGCGAATCTTTGGGATGTGACGGACAGGGACATCGACAAGTTTTCTCAGGCTGTCTTTGACAAGTTACGCCTTGACCCCGACCATGTGAAGAACTGGGACGGCGCAGAAGGAGGCAAAGTTTCGCTGATGGAGGCCGTCGCGAAATCTCGCGACGTTTGCAAGCTGAAGTACCTGAATGGAGCTGCACCGGTGGTATACGGTATCCCATTCTATCTTTGAGCACTCGCATATAGCATATAATTTATGAGTCAATTTATTGGGGCTTATCATTGCGCCTGCAATCTACTCAAAGATTTTCCGTTCAAATGAAAGAGTCTTCAAGTCGCAGACGAGCATGCTGCATGCCATAAGCCGTGTCGTAGCCCGAAGTCACGTGCGATTTATGACTTTTCCTTTGCTTTCGTCCTTGCAACGATGGTCTGCTTCAGCCTGCTTTCCTGAATGCTCCAATGTTCAATGACTTTGCATGTTAGATTATCCCTGTCCGTTGCTTCTCCTGCGGGAAAGTCATAGGCGACAAGTGGACTAGGTACATCAAGTTGCTAGAAGACGAGTATAGCGAAGGGTACGCAGAACGACGCTGAGCTTCGATGGTCTGACTCACCACGCATTACACTTTGCAGAGATGCTCTCGATGAATTGCAGCTGAAGCGATACTGCTGTCGGCGAATGGTCCTCACGCACGTCGACTTGATTGAGAAACTTTTGCAGTACAACCGTATGTCGCCTATTATCATCCCTTGACCTATGAAACTCACCACGCTGCAGCCATGGAGCGCTCCAAGGAGAGGCGTGGGTGAGGCCCGGATAAACACTCCGCAACTATATGCGACACTTCGATGCTCACCGGCAATGGGAACAAACGACACTACTCTGCCAACGCCGCGCAACGCTCACACAAACGGGCACCAAAGGGGATAGCCCAGGAGGAACCGTCGTCGCGGGTACATATGGCTTGAAATTTTGTGCTCTATACACTCGATGAACAGCTGGAAGCTGCTGTAATACACCCCATAACCCCAGATGTACGAGACGCTTGCATGTACAGACCTTCTCCCTGCACCCGTACCCGCGATGAACGGAAGAGCCGCTATCTTCGGACCACCTGCCCGACCAACTCGGCACGATTCCCGCTTATCAACCTGCACTTTACAGCCTGGGTACACGCAAATAGCCTCAGCGTGCTCATGACCATACATACCATTGCACGGCTACGGCGAGCCGCATGATCACGGCCTTCGCTGCTCAAAGTGATACTGCCGGAAGAGTGAGCACTGCTCGGTGAACTCCACGCGGTTGCCTTCGATGTGTGTGCATTCAGCTCGCTGTTTGCGACGGTCTTGGCTGCAACAAGCTTGGCGTCGCTTTCGACCGGCCTCGGAGATGGGCGAATTCTGGAGTTTGGTGACCTGTTGCCGTTCGCGATCTGTGGGCGATGCGGGAACGTTACATAGCATGTCTGGGCGGCTTATTTGATAACGGCACCATGGAGACCTGAGAAAGCGTGCACGGTAGACGGAGGAAGCGCCCCCATAGCTCCCCGACCGCAGCCAGAATCGAAGCGCATGAGAGACCCAGGCCGGAATCGCTGGTGATGGGAAAGCGCTGGGCAGCACTGGTGCACGGGATCAAATCGTGTTCCGAGCGAGCGGTCTTGTGAGGGGAATTCGACGCGTTCGTGCTGAATTCGACGGCGGAGGCGGACTGCGGTGAGTTCCATGAGACCGCGCGGGAGACGCTCGGCGCCTGTGGTGCCATGGCGTTGTTCGAGTACCATGGCGGGCCGATGCTATGTCGGGCATTTCGGACTTGTTCGAGTGCCCTAGGGAATGACACCCTTCGTTGGAGAAGTCACGATGAGCAGCCTTGCACGCCAATGTCCATCTCGGCTTCAGCACGCGTGAACTTGTGCGAGATGTGTGGCGTTGGCGGGTGCGACAGACGCACAGAATGAGCAGCGTACGTCGCTCAGCAGCAACCGTCTCTGTCAGGAACAAATTCGATGCTGTATCCAAGGAGATCGTTCATTTACGTTGGGTGAAGAAGCTGCCAGGCATGAGATATCTTCTGTGACGATTGCGGTGATTGGCGTGCATCGCACGCCCAAATACTCGAGCCTCGGTAGTCGCAAGTTACATGAGTACGACTTGCTGTCGAAGTTATGTGGTGAGGACATGTCATGCAGTGGCGGCCAGAAAGCGAGACAACATCGACTTCAAATGATCGGCGGTGCTTCCCTTTGAGGACACGAGGCGGGCCTGGAGGCCGAGCAGATCTCATACACAGATGTGAATGACGTCGCACGGCAATACAAATGGGTCTACTACAAATTCTCGATTATTCTCGTGCGTGTGGGGTATGTACTGCCCCGCTGGAGTGTTCACCGAGATCGCTCGGTGAGTTTGGCGGATGACTTCAGATCGGCTTGGAGGTCAGTGTCGACTTGGACAAATGGCATGTTGCTGGTACGTCGGACGACGTTCCCGGTCATACATGCGGCTCAGAGAAGGGGCAGGAACGATTTAAAGCTGACGCGGGGATAGAAGTGTCATTCCGTCTATTGCCGCTTGAGATGCCGATGATCCCCCTATGGTCGTTCGGGAGGGAGGAGCGGACTCAACGCCTCGAGGGGGTCCGTGTCCGAGGTGGGTTCTGAACCAGTAGCATCAGCTAGATCTGGTCGGCTCGAGAAGCCGGCGAGATCGGCACGCAAATCGAGTCGTGCCGTCGTGCGGCCAGGGGATGGCTGAGTCAGGATATGCGCGATTTGTGCTCGGAATAGGGCCGGTCTCGGGAGGAGGATGGGGCGGGCATGGGACGCGATGAGCAATTAATCGGCGTCAGCGTACATATCGTCGGAAGACCGTGAGTGGCGTCCGAGCTGAGGGGTAGCGTCGGTGAAGGAAGGAATGGGTCTGGTCTCATAAACTACACCCTCCAGAACTCGACGTCTATCTTGAGCGACGCTCGGACAGGCCCGATCAGGCCCAATACAGTTGACTATCAGTCTAGCGAATCCGGGTACATAGGGGGATAGTTGGCCTTCGGTAGCCCCGCGTACCACGCGCTGGAAAGCCGTGGTAGTCCGCAGATAACCCATTTGCGCGCATGGGATAGAAAACCACAGGCAGATAATGCTCAACTTACGACTTGTTCCGACTGCACGAGGTCGGGAAGTGTGTTGTTTCGGGGTAAATGCAGTGGCGTGACCCAGGGTGCGATAACGAGATGACAGGAGGCCAATTGGCATATCGCCATTTCATTCATGTATCCGCGCGTTGAGGTTGAGTTTTATCATTCCGGATCGAACTGTAGACTTATGGGTGCTGTGGCATCAGAGGTTGAAGATGCCATGGGCGCCGGTTCTGCTGATGGTGCGAAGGAACTCAGACTGGATCAGATCAATCGAAGGGACGTCTCTGAGAGCTGATGGCCACATCACGATTTCGGACCAGGAAATGGGGCTTGGAGAAGCACTAACGACATGAACTTGCATGGGGCTGTGGCGACCGTTTCCGCGCGTCGCTACTGGCTGGAGGACGCCGCCGGCCTTCGCGACCAATCGAGGGAGGCGCGCGAACGTCGTACGAGCAGGATACGCCGACACGGGCTGGGACTGGCTGTTAATCGGTGGCGATGGCCAAGCAACGCTGAGTACCGTCGGCCTTTCTGCCGACCGACTCGCCAAAACCACGCTGGACCATGAGCGCACCGTTCCGGTTTCTCGACGTCCGCCCGTCCTGATTTGGGCAGGCGCACGTGAGCGAGCCGAACAGCCGACAGAGGGGGTTGAATCGGGGCGTTGGCCGGCGTTAGAGCGATAGCAGGCGCAACGTGCGCGCAATACGCCTGTGGACGGAGTACCAATGCGGGTCAGCGGCAGCGACTCCGCCGTGTACGACGGCGACGGCGGCGAAAGGCGTCTAAAGACGAGGGGGTCGGAAGAAGCGGATCAAAGAATGACCGCGGTGGCGGCCTGCTGTTTGCGCGTGTTGTGCTTGTTGATCAGTGCAGGGGGGATGAAATATAAACTCGGGGGTCGTGCACGTCGACGCTCCCTACTCTCTCCCCTCCACCTACTATCGTCCCCTCCAACCCCGCGCCCATCGCTACAAAAGCGCAAGGCCCTAGAGGCTCTTCCGTCCCCTCACCTACCACCGCTTCACTTCTCCTGCAAAGGACGCGCACAATATGTCCGACCCCGCCGTAGAAAAGGAGCCGGGTCCGGCCACCGAGCAACCCGCCGCCGGTGCCCCTGCGGGCGAGAAGAGGAAGAGAGAGTACAAGGACTTTGGCCATGAAGAGGAGAAAGCTACCCGTGAGTTTCGCGTCGCGCGCCCGTTCTCCGAACCCGCCAACACAACGAACCGAACTAACCTGTCGCCGCGCCAGATGCCAAGGTCGACATGTCCCAGATCGAACTCAAGGCCGAGGATCTCTACGACAAGGAGAAGGTCGATCTCGAGACGATTGTTATAGACGACGTCTTCAAGCTGCTTCAGTGCAATGATAATGGTCTTACGGATGAGGAGGCTGCTCGCCGTCTTGGTATTTTCGGTCCCAACAAGCTCGAGAGCGAGGAACAGAATCCCTTCCTCCAGGTTGGTTTATGGTTAGCTGTTTCCGCCGCACGAAATGCTGACGTGTCTTCCTGTAGTTCTTGAGCTTCATGTGGAACCCGCTCTCTTGGGTCATGGAGGCCGCTGCTCTTGTCGCCATTGCTCTGTCCAACGGCGAGCACCGCCCTCCGGATTGGTACGATTTCGTCGGTATCGTCCTCCTACTCTTCATCAACTCGGCCATCGGTTTCTACGAGGAGCGGAACGCTGGTAACGCGGTCAAGGCGCTCATGGACTCGCTCGCCCCGAAGGCCAAGGTCAAGCGCTCGGACAAGTGGAGGGAAATCGAATCCTCCGACCTCGTCCCCGGTGACATGATCTCGTTCAAGATTGGTGATATCGTTCCCGCCGACTGCCGTCTGACCGAGGCCATCAACGTCTCGATCGACCAGGCTGCTCTCACGGGCGAGTCTCTTCCCCAGAGCAAGAAGCTCGGTGACCAGTGCTTCTCGTGAGTGGATTGCGATAAATTCACCCACGTGCGTTTTTTAACCGTCCTCGCAGTGGTTCCACTTGCAAGCAGGGTGAAGCCGAGGGTGTCGTCATTTCCACCGGTCCCAACACGTTCTTCGGTCGCGCGGCGTCGCTCGTCGGTCAGGACGACGACACTACCGGTCACTTGCAGAAGATTTTGGCCCAGATCGGCTCGTTCTGCCTGATCTCGATCGGCCTTTTCGTTTTGCTCGAGATCGTCATCTTGTACCCGGCGTTCCACTATACCTATCGTCGCGGTCTCGACAACATCCTTGTGCTCTTGATCGGTGGTATCCCCATCGCCATGCCCACCGTGCTGTCCGTCACGCTCGCTGTCGGTGCCCAGCAGCTCGCAAAGCACAAGGCCATCGTCACCCGTATCACCGCCATTGAGGAATTGGCCGGCGTCACCATCTTGTGCTCTGACAAGACCGGTACTTTGACCACGAACAAGCTTACCATCGACCGTGGCACGATTAAGACATACGGCCCCTTCTCTCCCGAGGACGTTATCCTCCTTGCCGCTTACGCCTCGCGTACGGAGAACCAGGACGCCATCGACCAGTGTGTTGTCAACGCCATTGGCGACACGTCTCGCGCCCGCGCCGGTATCAAGCTTTTGGACTTCAAGCCGTTCAACCCCGTCGACAAGCGTACCGAGATTACCTACCGTGAAGAGGCCACCGGCAAGCTCAAGCGCGTCACCAAGGGTATGACGGGTATCATCATCGAGCTGTGCACGCGCAACAAGACCGATGAGATCGAGAACCGCCTTGAGGCTGACGTTGAGGAGTTCGCCACCCGTGGTCTTCGTGCGCTCGCTGTTGCCTACGAGGAACTTGACGGTCAGGACCCCGAGGGTGAGGGCAACGGCTTCGAGCTTATCGGCCTGCTCGCAATCTTCGACCCCCCTCGTGACGACACCAAGCAGACCATCGACGATGCGCTCGCCCTCGGCGTCAAGGTCAAGATGGTTACCGGTGACCAGCTCGCGATCGCGAAGGAGACCGGTCGTCGCCTCGGTCTCGGCGACCACATGTACCCCGCGAAGGTGCTTAAGGAGGGTCCCGCCCCCGGTGGCAAGCACGCTTCTCTTGATGAGATGATCATGGACGCCGATGGTTTCGCCGGTGTTTTCCCCGAGCACAAGTACGAGATCGTCAAGCGTCTCCAGGGTCTCGGTCATCTCTGCGCCATGACTGGTGACGGTGCCAACGACGCCCCCGCCCTGTCTCGTGCCAACGTTGGTATTGCTGTCGAGGGTGCCACTGATGCTGCTCGCGGTGCCGCCGACATCGTGCTCACCGAACCTGGTCTCTCCACCATCGTGCACGCCATTCGCGGTTCGCGTATCATCTTCCAGCGTATGAGGAACTACTCCATCTACGCTTGCGCCGTCACTATCCGTATCGTCGTTTGCTTCGCCATCCTCGCGTTTGCCTACAAGTTCGACTTCCCGCCGTTCATGATCCTTATCATCGCTCTCCTCAACGACGGCACCATCATGACCCTCTCTGTTGACCGTGTGCTCCCGTCCATGACGCCGGATAGCTGGGACCTTGGCGAAATCTTTGCCTACGCTGTCGCGTACGGTCTCTGGCTCACGCTGTCCACGTTAGTCCCCGTTTACCCCCCTCTGCCTCTACCTTGCTAACTGATCGATAGGATTGCCCTTGTTATCATCATCATCGAGACGACCTTCTTCCAGGACAAGTTCGGCGTTACCCTCGAGAACACGGGCACCGTTGACCACAACGACCGCGAGCTCCACATGATCGTTTACCTCCAGGTCGCCATCATCTCGCAGGCCCTCATCTTTGTCACCCGCTCGCACAGCTTCTTCTTCATGGAGCGCCCGTCGTTCGCCCTCATGGGTGCGTTCGGTATCGCGCAGTTGATCTCGTCCATCATCGCCGTCTACGCCAACTGGGGTTTCACCAAGGTCCACGGCATTTCTGGTGGATGGGTGGGTATCGTCTGGATCTGGGACATCATCTGGTTCCTGCCTCTCGACCTCATCAAGTTCGCTATGCGCGCCACCATCATCAAGTGGCTCCGTGCCCGCCACGAGCGCGCCATGTCGGCCGAAGTCAAGGCTTCGTCTTCCGGCGTCCCCATGACCCGCACTCAGTCCCGCGCCGCCTCCGTCCACGAATCCCTGTACTCGAACCGTGTCGGTTTCCTCCGTCGTGCCGCCCGCAAGGTCGGTTTCGGCAACAGGATCAAAATGCGCCCCGAGGAACTGCAGCGCTTCAGCTCCATCCAGGCCCAGCAGACTGGTGCCGTTCTCGCGCGTCACCCCAGCCGTCCGCAAGCAACAGCATAGATCTCCTAGACTCGCATACATTTCGCGTTGCCTCCTTTGCCTCACTCTTAATAATCTCTTGATTTCCTTCGACCCTTCGGGTGCACGCTTTGCCGCGGGTGTAGCGGCAATCGCGCTGAGGGCGACGGGCCGGGAAGACGTTCTTTCACGATTTAGTTTCGTCACGATGTTGCCATAGGAATATAATATATGTCAATCAAACATCTACACATTCTATACACATTTCGGTGCTCGCATTCTGAACTTCCGCTTGCTCGATGTAGGTCGAACGAGTCGCTGTTGATTTTGAGAAGACTGATGAGACTAATGTGTGGATTGCTCGATATCGTCGTGCTTGTCGATGCATTGATCATGAAGCAAGTTGTGCATATGTTGCAGGTCTATGTACATTCCAAGGACATTCACAACTCCTCATGGGTGACGACACCCTCGACATCCGCCGCAGTATCGCCTTCACCCTGCATTCCTGCGACCTCTGCATTCGAGGGCGCGGAGGGTGGAGGCGGCACCTCGCCAGCCAATGCATTGACGTCGCTGGCGATGGAGGACGAACGCAGTAAACCGGCTTCCGTTAAGTGGCGTGTTAGACGTGCCACCTCGGCGTCGTACTCTTCCCACTCGGGTATCTTCCGTGCACGTTCGAGCTTCGGTTCCTTCTGGAATGGGATGAGTTCCGCGTTCTCCGGTCAGGTACGAGTGACGGTACTTACGGTGAGAGGATTCTGGCAAAGGTCAATGGTCTTGGCTCGATGCAAGCGATCTTTGCTGCCTAGATGATTTGGCACATCAGGAGAGCTCCGGCGACGGAACTGTGATTAGGACATACACCACGTTTCACACTACATCGTAGAGGTGTGGTTGATCAATAACAGCGTTGCGCGTGAAGCCGAGCTATAGATGCCTACCCATAACCAGTCTTCATGGAGCGAGAACTGTAACCGCCAGAGTGAGAACGCATTGAAGCACAGATGAGAGCGATAACGCACTATGGGTACTTCACGCTGAAGGTTGTTGGGCAGATCTGAAGACAAATACGCTCGTCAGTAGACTAGTTCATCCTAGAGACGGTGCACTGCCGACCTTGGTCGAGGTTCGCAAGCGAGTTCGGGTCGGCCGAGAGTTGTTGATAATGCCCGCGAAGGATATCCTAGGAAGGAACACGTCACACGTGGGTTTGTGGATGCATTCATGAAGCGTACCCCTGCTGCCATCTATCGGAATAGCGATGAGCTTAATCACAGCCGACCGCCGATTAGAGCTGCAATAACGCACCTTCCGGAACTTGTCCAGGTCCACCACGTACAGTGCACTGCAATACTCAGGCCATTTGAGCATGGGCATGAAAGATCAAATCTCAGACGCACCTGATATGATAAGGGAGGCCTTTGAGGAAGTCTTTCCAGTAACCTGTTTTCCAAAATCTGAAGCCCTCCATGTCGGTGTTGTCATCTCCCATGGGAGTATATCCGTATGGCGCGCCATGCAGGTCCAGGTCCACTAGTTCCTTCAAGTCCGCCCTCACAATCTGGTCCGCGTCCACGAATATCACTTTCTTGAGGTCCATAGGGAACAGAACGTCAAGAAACAAGATTTTATACGCCCAGATGATACGCTGCTTCTCTTTCTGGGCTCGCAGCCAAGAAGGCCACTTGTAGGTAACGAGCTCGTATTGGAAGTTATAAGCAGCGGCGAAATGCGGTATGAATTCCTGGATATATAGACATGATCAGATGTGCATGGCACCAAGCTCACTGACACTCGACTCACGAGGAATGAAGGTGAAAGGAAGTTTTCGATGAACCAAAACTTCACCGTGCTATTGGTGTTGCGGAGGACACTAAGCACCATGATGGACAAGAAACGCTGAGAAGCCAGTTAGGAATTCTGCACAACGACGCCGCGACTATAGCTCCTTACCTCGTATAATAAACCCGAGGCTACAGTGAAGACATTGATCTCCGCCTGTTGGGACACTGCAACTAGATCTGTAGAGGGTGCCGGTTCCGGTCTGAACCAAGACTTAATCCTACGAGGTATCCAGCGTTAGTGAGCGTGACACATATTGCTAAGGCACTGATCGACCTGGATGCAATGCTGTCTAAGAGGCCGTCTGGTTCATCGTCCTCGAAGGTGAGATCCGCGAGGACGTCGTAATGGCCCTTCCCAGGAATTCTAGCCAGCCTTGGATATACGGTCAAGCCCTCAAAGTCCGTTAGTGTGATCTCATCTCCAATCTGCTGGACAGTCGGACTGTCCCATCCTTCGTTGCCGACACTTTCCATCTCAAAGAGTTCCTTCCCGCGCCCTGGCCTGATTTCCAGATGGTAGATTCCTGGCGTTGCTCTAAACTGTAGGTATCCTAGGTTCGCCATTATTTGCGTATCACCGACGGAGGAAGAGTTGTCAGTCTTCAACTGAAGCTGAAGGCCTCTGGGTGGTGAATTGGTCAGAGTATCGCGAGCATGACCTTCGATAACGAGATAGTCCAGCTCGTAGGTGGCTTCTACCACCTCTTCCGAGGATAATCCGTTCAACTGTATATTGTCAAGATCATGGAATGCTTCTCGCGGGCGAGCTAGCCACGCCTTAGGTACGTCCATGCCAAGCGTGTAAATGGGCTGAGTTGGGAGGTCATCGAAGGTAACCATTGCAGGGACCTCGTCGCTACACAACCGTCAGTTGATCATCCTCGAGCTTGACAAATGGCACAAACCCGTTTACGTCGAACACGAGACTAGGAAGAACTTGAAACCTGTAGAACCTCTTCAGGGGAACCTGGCACGCGGTAAGGTAATATGCGAGCGAGACAAGCGATGAAGCATACTTCACGGAATCCGGGCGGGTGAATAATGATCTTGATGAACACGTCTGGAATGGAGGAGAGCCACTGCATGAACTCATTAGTACGGTCAAAGCATCAAACTATCGGCGAGCCGTACCTCTGCTATACTAGACCACTTCTGGGCTGCCTCGCTCAGCGGATCAACCAGGATGGCGATTTGATACAGCGCAGTAGATATGTCACCGCTTTCAAACGAGCTGAGGCAGGATATGATTATTACTCAATGACGGCGAAGAAAACAAGGGGCCTACATACGTGTACGTGTTGTCCAGGAGATTGTAGTTGCGACGTCGAGGTTGAGCGGGGACATTGTAGAGGCCGGACTCGGTGGGTTCGGGCATAGCGATTGTCGAGAGAATAGATGACGCTATGTTCAATATGTCTGCTGATGACACTCTGAATCTCGTTCAGCGATGCATGCATCGGGTTGGTCAGGAGGAAACCTCACCTATCCTTCTGCAGGAAAGAAGGCGTTACATCCGCAAGCGCGGCCAATACAGGGCCCACACGCTTCCGAAGTTCATACGAGGCGAGCGTGCGGAAGTCAGCTGCGTGGAATTCTCCAGCTTTGAAGGGACCGATGAGCTGCACTCGGTCAGTGAGGCACTGGCGAGCATTCGGGCATTGCACTCACTCGACCATTGATCAATACAGCTTGCGCTCCAGCAGATAGGCCCAGTCGGCTTAGAATGGTCTTGCTCGCCTCTGCTGATGTAGTGTGTTGGTCATCCTCGGAATCACTCCGTTCGTCGCCTGCAAGTTCCCCTAAGACATTTTGCGGTGGCGTAGGCACCTGCTGGGCATCTTCTACATCGAACCCGAGAGATCTTAGGAGATCGCTCTTGGGTATGGAAGTATGGTGTTTCAGAAGGAGTTTTCGGAAGGCAGAGGCATGGACAGTATCCTCCGACAGGCCGGAGGCAGCGGATGGATTGTGGAGGAAACCGATACGGGCAGTTCCGTCCTGCGAAGAAATTGGAACCACGCATGGCGAAATCAAGGGACAGACGAACCATAGAGATCAGCGCCTCTCGTGCAAGCGTGAGACCTTCTTCGCTGTCGAAATCAGCGATAATAACCTCAGTAAGCGGTGTCTGTGATTCTGCGGCACTGTCTGTGCCTCTATTAGGTCATGCTTCAGCGTTACGTGTAGAGCGACTCACTAGGATAGACATAAGCCGCTCCCAGCTCCACGTCACGGAATAGCTCATGAAGATTGAAGACACGGATAGCCTCGAACCCGGTTTGGTGAATATAGCGGTTCCTTGTTTGAGCCGTGGTGGGCAAATCGTAAAAGTAGGTGGACATATCCCCTGCGTTCTCGTCGCTGAGCTCCGTGGTGTATATCCTCTGCTGCAGATGGAGCATCTGCTGGCTGATTTCGTTCTGCATGTTACGCAGGAACTCCTACAATCACATCGAGTGAGTGTGTCAACTCCGCAAGGACTATACGGAACCCACATCGTCGATGTCGAAGTGTTTACCGTTGACAAAAGCGTGTCCCGTGGGCGAAGAACTGGCGTCCGCCTGTAAACGTTGCGTATATGCGCGCACTTTGTCCAGAGACGGGCTGTTAACGACCTCCTCGAAGGTCAGAAGCGGTTCCTGTCCTTCAGCTAGCTCGACACCGTTTATCAAAGCCTGAAATTCTTGTCGGACAATATTCCAGTTCACAGTAGGAGTAACCATATCCGAAGGCATGCGAGTTTGTGCATTCTGGGGACACGAATAGCGTTAATTCATCCTGGAATTTCGTACGAGAAAAACTGACCATGCGTATGAATTCTATCGTTTTTGCTCTCCCAACGGTCTGAATGAGATAATAGAATATCTTCGCCATCTTCTCACCTAGAGACGACGGTCTCCATCAACGCCGATTTATCAGAAGAATGGATGAAAAATTTGCCCACCGTCTTCCGTCTCTACCATGGGAACCACACCGAAACGTAGAGGGAAGTTACGATTGATGATGTTCCAGACAGCGTTGCCGATGAAACCATGGCTACTTGTCTTAGACAAGTCGAGGACGAGGACGACGTTATACAGATTGAGCTTCACATTGTGGAATTGTCCTGGATATAGCGGTCGAAGAAGCTGACGGGAATGGTACGGGTGAGGCCGGTGCCTTAAGTCGACGGAGCAAGAAACACACCGTGTTCAAAGATGATGGCCATGACGCGTAACGCGAGTCCTTCTCAAGATCATTCCACCAAACGATCGTGTTGCCACCTTCGAGCCGGTCGCTGGCATCGAAAATACCATCAAGCACATCCTTTTCACCTTGAAGCGAGCCAACGGCGCTGTGGGTCATGAGATCAATCGATTGCTCTGCGGTCAGGCCGAGTGATGTGAGAGAGTGCACAAAGCCGCGTTCCTTGCGCAAAAGACGAAGTAGACTGCCCAAAAGAAAGGAGTATCTCATTGAGCATCGGCATATAAGGAATGGTATATGTTCCTGGTACTTGCGAGAATGGGTTTATGTCCGTCTCCGGTACGGTTTTGCCATTGATCCAAATCATGCTCATGCCGGGCTGAGCACGTGCCATGTTTGCCTGGATTTCCATCGCAACACTCTCGTTCACGTTCACTCTTCGGGAAATCGATGTTGCATAACGAGGGAAGTTCTGAGAAATTTGCTTCAGCGTAGCCAAGGGTTCTTCAGAATCTGCGATGAGCTGGGCGGTCTGGAAGCCGATCTCTGAAGGAGCATGTCAACATGCGGGGCTTGACGATATCGTTAGCATAGACGAGACGCACGCAATAGCTCATCCTCGGTCAGTGGAGAGTTGTTATCCGCGGTGGAGTTCAGAGGGTAGGCTTCCAGCAGTTGCAATATGGGATCTTTAGTCAGCAGCGTACCCTCTGCCTCCTTGATACCCGAATCATCATCTACTGATCCAGATTCTGGGCACGAGCAGTTAGACAAAAGTAATCCCAGGCCCAGACTTGGCTTTACCTTGACCACGCGTTCTGCGGTCATCTATGGCAAGATAGTCCATCTTCTTCAGGTCCAAAGTTACGCCATAACCGGAGAGGTAGGTCTTGTGCAACGTCCGTCCTGACCTGGCATGGACAGGCATGTGGCGGAAAACGTATTCTATCCGATGGTCACGCCCACTTGCAAGGGAAAGCAAGTAAGAATGGAGCTCCCGGAAGTTATCCGAAGCAGGGGAACCGTAGAGGATGGCCGTATGCGGTGGACGCTCAGCAGCAGGACTAACGGAAGGATAGATGTGGTCGAACGCGAGAGTTTTCGGCCTTGACGGTGGTACAAGCCTACAAATACAACGACTTGAATTGGATATTCTTCACCAGTACCGTACATTAGCACGTACGATGTGTTGTTGCTTTGAGCTGGTTCGACAGTCTCGTGTCCAACCAAGCGTACCAATGTCTCCAAATCACACACTGGTACCCCATACCAATCCACCCACGACTGCCCGTCGCACACGGATCCGAGCTGAGACGGCCCGTGCTCGTAGTGCTGATAGTAAGCTTGAATCTTAGGTCCAGAGGCGTGCAATGCGAGGTTCAGCCGGACGGCAGAGGCCAGACCGGACTCGGAGAGATATCCTGCATCAAGAGCTGTTTGAAGTGTCGCTTGGTACGTAGCTTCAGGCGTCATGTCCTGGAATATTATCCTATGTTCAGGGTCGGTGATCGCATCCAGTACTCCGAAGAAGGAATCAGGGCTTTCCGAGTCGATGGATTCGCTGGGGGGGGGTGACAAAGGGTCAACAGGACAGGGAAAACATAACGTGCTGGAGAACTCACAGAATTTCTGCCAATAACGGAGTAGCGGGCCATGACGTCCGCAAGGCTACCCGGACGGACGGCGATGCAAGCACCCTCCCGTTCAGGATACTGAGGGCACATATTGCAGTCTTCCACCTCCGATTACGCGTCCTCATGCTCAGCGAGTAGGTCGTACGTTATAGGCTTCGCGCAAGCCGGGGGTACGTGGAGGAGATTATGACTGGTGCTCAACACAGATCGCCACGTATACCTGGACAGTACACACAACCGCGTGTCGGAGCTGCGTCCGGAGTTATTGCGGGTTCAGCGGGCACAAAATCAAGGCATCCACAGGTGGGAAGAGTGATAGGACGATGATCCAAGAGGTCTAACGACGAAGCGACCAGTCAAATGAAAGGATAGAAATAATGTGCAAGGGCAATGTCTGTCTATGTGTTTGAAATTCGGAGGCGGTGCTAAAGCCTGAGTTGCGCGCTTTTATTCAAGACTCAATGGTAACCACGATCGTTCGCCTCATAGTCTATGCATGCGTTCATCGTAGACACGACCGTGGCCTTCCAAGCCTTACGTATATCCCCATTTCTCTATAGATGTGCAATATGCGCGGGTTGGAGTTTGATACAACGGTGGTGTTACAACAGAGTCCGTAAAGATAGCACTCAGTAGGCGCGGTATTGATACACCGGAGGCACGACCTCCGGAACTACTTGTCCTCGTGTGCAAGAAACTCGAACGCCTCCATCGAGTTCCTGTTCAAGCCCGGGCAGGTTAGGCAGCGACCGCTCTCGGGCTTTGTGGATGTTACGCCGCAGCCGGCTGGGATCTTGCATCCGGATGACGGATGCCTGTCTGGTAGGCAACGGAGTGCGATCCCGATGCGCTAGGGTAGGCCTTTCCACTGGAGAATCGTATGCAAGCGTACTGTCGGATGACCGATAGGCAACTCCCCCGTAGGCGCTTGAATGCGTTGGATACGAACGGTGTCGCTCAGTTTCGACGGGAGATGCAAACAGTTTTAAAGGTGATGACTCGGCTGGCGAATGGAACGGATTGGTCCAATAAGTTCCCGAAGGAGAATTGGATGTAGAGTAAATTATGCTGTTCCGGCTGTATCGATCCCCAGGGCTAACTGAGACAGGACTGGAGTGTATCGGGAGGAGTGAATCAGGTCCATATCCTGGTGAATAGAAAGAAGCGTCTGTCCAAGGCCTCGATCAGGTTCATTTATGCAGGGCACAATCCGAGTATACTTACCGGACAAACTGCGAGCCTTCTCAAATGGTGTGGGAGACATGAGCCGTTTTCGTCTATTACGCCGCCAGGCAAATACGAGCACGGCGACCAGACAGCTCAGCGCCAATAATGCTCCGATGACGATTCCTGCTACATCCCCTAGAAGCGAGGAGAAGGGGTCAAATAACGTCCGTCAAGATAAGACTCAGAAGTCACCTTTAGATATGCCGTCGGATTTGCCTCCATCACCGTTATTATTGTTGTTATGTTTTGATCTATTGTTGCTGTTGTTCTGGTTGTTGTTGCCGGTGTTAGAGGAGCTTGCGGAAACTGTGCTGGCAGCATCTGCAGCGGTCCCTGACCCTGCCATCCCAGCCACGATCGCTGCGGGCGATGGTGTATACTCCAGATAATCAAGAAAGAAGGGGCTATTGCCGCCTGTCTCAGAGGTGATCACCAGAGTGTGCTCGCCATCCTGCAATTGGGGGGAACGAAAGAACATCTGCTGGAACAGAGGGTGTCCGGTTTTTGCCACATTGTTGGGCGTCCCTGCCGCTCCGTCAAGCGAATAGGTGGATTTACTCCCCCCCGGGGCGATGGAACCAAAGACGGCTATGCCAGTGCCTGCAATGAACAGGTTTGTGAGTTGTCCCGGACGCCATTCGTATCAGCGACGCACCGTTGAACGTGAATTGAATAGTCGAGCCAGCATTTCCTGTGAAATGACTAGTGGAATTGAATCTGCGGATAGTCCATCTGCATCAGCAATCGGCTACATGTTGAAGCGTGCTGAAAACACTCACTCGGCCTGCACATTTGACCTGCTGTTCCAAGGACCTCTATAGACCAGTCTCGGGTCGGTATCGTCGACCATTATCTCGAAAAGAGCGGAATTGCTGGCCATAGCAGCGGATTACGAAGCAAAAGAACGAGAAGTTTTTGGAGAACGTCGAAGAGGGTCAATTGCGACGACACCATCCTGCAAATATAAGGGACCGCCGCAGCGATCCTGGGCAGTGGTACCTGGAAAAGGTCCATATTCGTGCTGGGAGTGGTTGTCCAGTAGACGACCTGCGTCTTTCTGATTGACGATCTCGAAAGGGGGGAGAATCCACGAAGAAGCTCCGCCAAAATAGACTCCGAGGAAGCCCCGACTCCGACAGTGCCTCCTCGGCGTAGTCGCCCGAACATAAATAAGTACGCTAATGGATGCGATACCACTAGAGAAATCATAACGAACATGTCATGCATCAACTCGAAGGATAAGTTACTTTGACGTCGAGCGCAAGACCTTTGGCAGGACGACGTAGCTAGCCGTGTGACCACAACTCCATACGGGCACGTCGGGGAAACCTTACCCCATAGCAACAATTGAACAGTTAAGAGTAAAGCGGGCGTGCGGAGGATATACGTAGTAGGCCGTCCGAGTGGTCAAAGAGTCCGAGATATCGATGCTAGATGCTACGGGGTATCATGAGCTTGTTTCTCGAGACGATCATGCCCGAAGCCAGATGTACAAAATAGTCCGAAGTACGTAATACGTACTATACGAGCGTCCTTGTGACTTTCTGATCGTGTGCACAATGAAGAAACAATCGCGCGTCATCGACGGCCCAGCGCGAGATAGACTTTGCGGTGATGAATGCCTAATACTCCCCATAGGCCGGGGGGACCGAGCCCGCAGTTGCAGAAGTGAGACCTGTACCAGCTCGCGAAACCGGTGTTATTCGGATTCCAGCGTCTTGGTGCTGGTGCGGTGGTCGATGGGAGATGGTCTGCGGGTATGAACGTTCCGCCTTCTGACTTGGTCCATTGCCTGCTCTAAGGGACATGGGGACGTCGCTTCCCACGGTGAATTCCTGCGGAAGGTTCACTTCCAGGCTTTCAGCGGACGTTGACGCACGTTGGACATAAAGGTCGAGATCAAGCTGAGACTCGAAGCTATGTCCCGAGGATGATGACACAACCCTCGATTCATACGATGAACTGGCGTTAGGTCGCTGAAAGATGGACAAGCTTTCAGGCTTGTCGCGTCGTACTACTGTGGTTGGAGGGACGTAAGGTGTCACGTTGGCGAAAGGAGTGATGGTGAAGTCTCGAGCCCTATAGCTCGGGGGAAACTCTTGCTGGACGATTGGGGCTATCCGAGCTTCAGCTCGAGCATAAAGACTTTTGCGGCACAAGACTCACGAGGGGAATACAGGAGACCATCCTTCATTGACGGATCTTCCTGGACTCTGCGAACTCTGTATCGCCTCCAGTAGCAGAGTGCAAGCGCCGCAAGCGACACGATTGCCAATCCCGACAATAATGCCCCCACGATAACCGCGGCACGAGGAGAATGGTTGGCGTTCGGCGGAGGACGGGTAGTGGTGAAGGTTATATAATCCAGTAAGAAGTCGCCGCCGGATTGGTAGCTGACGTTGAGCTGATGAGAACCTTCTACAAGCGGAGGGGACTGATAGAATATGTGACGTTGCAAAGAGTGACCATCGGAGACATTCGGGGCACAATACAAGGCCCATTCTCCTGTCCAGTTGTTTCCAGCCGTATTATGGCCTCCATCGATCACGTACATCGAGGATGCTGGACCGTTCACAGCGTCCCATGGTGGCACCGTACCATATACAGTGACAGATGTACCTAACAACGAACGAGTGAGATCAATAACATCGGCTGGTAGATTGGTTGTACCCATGAACCTCACAACGGCATACGCGCCCGCGTGAGCCCGATGAATAGTGTTATTTAGCGCACCCGGTGAAGGCGCTGCGAGAAAGAAGTATTGAGCAGGTTGTGATTGCGTATACTAGTAGGGTCATTCGCACCAGAAGTATTCCATTCGCCATAGAATCTGATGCCATGCGCCTCACTTTCAGATGCAGCATCGTCGATAGTGACAGTGTAAAGAGGGGACATTGCCAGCAATTTGCCAGAACAGATGTGCTATACGAGAATCGGAGCGTCACCAGGACATGCGGGGCGAGAAGAAACTCGGCGGCAGCTTTGTGAGCTGCTTTTCCCTCTAGCTTCGTGAGAGTCGGATGATGTGTAGTGAAGGTCCGGAATAGTATCTGGTGATCGCACCGCGAACATCACAAAAGGAGCATGGGCGCTGATTTCTATCATCCATCCTATGACATTCCGAGGGTGACCGATTCCATATAATGGTGTCCAGTTGCGTCCGAGGCTGATGGGAATCACGAAAACCGTCCAGAAGCAACGTCCCAGTCGGTTTGGGACATGTTATGGCCGTCCTTTGCCCGACTGTAGTAATCACGGAGATCCGAAGTAGGAGTGCCATGTCGTGCTGCTACACCGCCCTACCGAGACGAGGATATACTGGGCTGCGCCGCCATCGCCGCGCTGAATCACCACAGTGTCATTGAGAGCCGATGGGTGCAATTCGTATAGAGATTGACTCCGAGCTGAAAAACAGAGTCAGGTGCACTCTGGTGCACTCGCTCGAACTCGGTTGTGTACGTTACGGGCACGTGATCGAAGGGCGTCTCAACTGGCGCGACGCGTTGAGGTGAACCGCGATTACCGCCTTACCCATACTATCCGGCCAGCGCACTGCTCGTAGCTTAGGCTTAGCCAGTGCACGACTCAGAGCCTGTTGGCCGCCATGGGGGACTCGTTTGACCTGCAGGAAGAGCTACAAGGGTTACATGATGTCTCCTCTTTTCAGATCAATCAGGAGCATGACATCCCGTCCATGGATGCCCGCTCAATAAGCTCCTTACTGGAGAGTACGTCATGACTCTATGCTGTCTGGTACGAGCTTACCATGTCCAGGAGCGGTGGAGGCGGTTGCCGAGGAATCAAACGCGATCACAAGAGGAGACATCTTCGACGTGTACTGCAGCCTTCTGAAGTATTCAGATAGTCTACAAGGGCTCGTTATGAGCAAGATCCTTGATTCCGTCTCGTCTGGTCTAGCCGCGCAAACCGAGACGACTACTCATGTGTTGGAGAGCGGAGACCAAGAATCCATCAGGGAGCAGAAGAAGGCCATCGAGATGTACGCGTTCCTTCTCCAGTGGTTCGTGATCGCAGCGGAGAAGGTTAAGAAAGGAGGCGAAGATGAGGTTGCGGTACCTGCCGCGAAACCTAGGAGGGGGCGAGGAGGCGCTAGAGCAGCCGCGTCGAGGAAACAAACATCCACGGCCTGGACATGGGAGAGCCAAATCCCCGCGACCCTTGCCTTGATTAGCAAAGTCCTTCGCCTGAGCTCGCCGAGGATATGGACGACGACGGCAGAGCGCGATACGTTTATTAGGTATGCTTCGCAAATCTTGTCCTCCCTTGCCGTAGTTGACTTACGCTGTACCTTCAGCTGCATTACACGACCTGCTTACCACGTTACCGAAAATGAACAGTACATGAAGGCTCAGAACATCAAACTCGGCGTCTATAAGGTCATTTGCCTCGCTGTTAAGCACCACGGACACGCTCTTGCGGCCCAGATCAGCATCATGCAATCCCTGCAATACTACGAACATCTCTCCGAGCCCATGGCAGAGTGTCTCGCGGTTCTCGCTAAAGAATTCGACCACTCTCAACTTGGCGACGAGGTCCTGCGAGAGATCGCTGGGAAGACCTTCAACGCGCAGGACACAAAGGGGCCCAGAGCCTTCTCTCGTTTCCTTACTCGCTTCTCCGAACTGGCGCCTCGATCGGTCCTCAAGCAGATAAGTCTTCTATTGAACCATCTAGATTCCGAGGTATGTGACTGGTTCACACATGCCTAAGTAGCCTGTTAACGAGAGAATTGCAGTCTTACCCTATGCGCATGGCTATAGTCGAAGTTATGGGAGCCCTCGTAAAGGAGCTGGCCACGTCATCCGAGATGGACAACGATCAAGCCCACGCCACGAAGCAATTGAATGGCCTATACGATATGCTCCTTGAACGTACGCTCGATCTATCATCCTACGTCCGAGCCAAGGTATTCGCGGTGCTCAATAGGCTGTGCGATCTTCCTGTCAAATTTCCTAAGCAGCGCCTTGCTGTGACACAAGCAGCTATTGACGCGCTCCAGGACAAGGCTGCGACCGTTAGGAAGGCAGCGATTGGGCTCTTAGTGAAGCTCATTGTCACACATCCCTATGGCTTGATGCACGGTGGTCTGCTGGGTTTGGATGAGTGGGAGCAGAGATACAAGGAGGTCACGGAGGAGCTCAAGAAGGTCGAAGAGGTGGTGGGCAAGGCCGTGGAGCGAGAAGATGGCACCCCTGAAGGCGATAACGAAGCAGGTCCCGCCGAAGAGGAGGAGGAAGAAGAAGAAGAAGAAGAGGGAGACGGTGGGGATTCTGGGGCCAAGAGGTATGTGACTGATTAACAGCAAGCGTTCTCGGACCCCAGTGACGCCTATACGTAGGTCCCGCAAGAAGAAATCGGATGATGATATGGATGTGGATGAAGACGAGGACACCGAGATCGAAGGGGACGATAGTGATGCTGAGGCTGCGCGCCAGAGCCAGAAATACAAACGGAAGAGAAAATCCAAGCCGCGAAAATCGGAGCTCGACATGACGGCTCTGACGAATGAGCAGGCCGCTCTCGCCGCCCTCGAGAGTAACCAACTGCTCCACCTCAGGCTTCGCAAAAAGTACTATGCCGAGGCGTTGAACTTCATCCGGACTATCGAAAATGGAATGGAGGACATGGAGCGCCTCCTTGGCTCGAAGAACAAGCTCGAAGTGCTCGAGGCAATCGATTTCTTCCGGGTCGCACATGAATATCAGTTCGATAGCGCTCAGGTAAATGTCTCCGATTCAGACCGTCCTGCTGATACGGTAACTGATCCTCATTTCAGCGTGGTATCCAACGAATGTTGCATCTCGTCTGGCAAAAGGACGAGAACGCCACTTCGGAGGATGGTAAAGAGGTCAAAGGTGTGCGAGCGCGAGTACTTGAGTGCTACCGGAGCCTCTACTTTGATCCCTTACCGGATATGGAGCCTAAGCACCAGGTCAATCGTATCGCCAAGAACATGATTGAGTTGGTCGCGACCTCAATGCGCGTTGGACTTTGCTGAAGAATACTGCTCGACAGGTTGACTTACGATGCGACATTAGCGGAGCTCACCAGCTTAGAAGAGATGATCCGTATCATGATGGATGAGGGACAGATCCACCAAGATGTTATTTCCAAGCTGTGGCAAGTCTATAGTGAGTATTCATGTCAAGATTCCTGCAGACGTACCTCTAATCGACCATTGAAGGCTCCGACAAACCTTTACCCAAAGCTCAGCGGAGAGGGGCCATTATCCTCTTGGGTATGATGGCATTGGCGAGGCGTGACGTGGTCACAGATCGCGTTGATACTCTTCTGAAAATTGGCCTCGGACCCCTGGGAAGAGTGTGTCTATCGTCTACGTCGGCTAAGATATATGGTGCTCATGCCTGCCCCTTAGGCCGATTTGACGCTTGCACGCTACACCTGCGTTGCACTGCAGCGCTTGAACGGTAGCGCGAAGAAAGTCAAAGGTTTGTACGATCCCTCGAAATTGGGTCATGCAACAGGGCTAAACACCTTCCAGGCTCGTTACTCGACAAAACGCTCAGAATAGAAATGGACAGTCCGATATTTCGTAAATTATTGGATATGGTTGAACATCCGTGCCGATCAAAGGAGTGGTTTGCTTTGGCTGAGCAAGCTATCAACACCGTTTATGCTCTCGGCGATCATCCTGATCAGTTCTGTGATACCCTCATCAAGGATCTGACCAGGAGAGCGTTCACGCCGCGAACACCAGCTCAAAGAGCAGAATCTGCTGAGAAGGATCCGGATGCTATGGACGAGGACGCACCGGAGGGCACTCGAGACCCGAGCATGACACAAGATCCCGTAGCAGAAGGCTCGAAGGATTGCGGTGACGCGTTCCAACTCAGCCAATTGCTGTTTATCGTCGGCCATGTCGCCATCAAGCACATTGTTTACCTTGAGCTCGTCGAACGCGAGTGGAAGAGGCAGAAGGACGAGAAAGCTATGGGTGAGTAGAATACTGCGTTTTGAAAGCCTCCTTTGAACTCCATGCAACAGCCGAGAAGCTTGCCAAAGGTACCGATGCTCAGGCTCGCACCTCAAAGGACAAGGACGGTGAGGAACTTGACCAGGTGGTCGGCAATGCGGAGGACGAGATCGGCGACCGCATCGCAGCTGTTCGAGAAACTGAGCTTCTCTACGGGCCGGAATCCTTGCTAGCTGTATATGGTCCGATGATTGTTCACATCTGTGGCAGTCCTCATAAGTTCAAGGTCAATGACTTGGTCACTTTTCCCGGACAATTTCTGATGGTTCATAACAGAATCGCACATTACGTGCTGCCGCGACGCTAGCCTTTAGCAAGTTCCTTTGCGTTAGCTCGCAGTTCTGCGACCAACACCATCGCTTGTTGTTCAAGATTTTGGAGACGTCTAAGGATGCGAACATACGCAGCAACATCGTTATCGCATTGGGCGACGTCGCTGTGTCGTTCAGCACGATCATCGACGAAAATAGCAACGAGCTATACAAGGGACTCTCAGATCGAGACCTTGTTGTCAAGAAGAATACGTTAATGGTTCTTACGCACCTCATTCTGAATGGAATGATCAAAGTGAAAGGGCAGCTCGGCGAGATGGCGAAATGCCTTGAAGACGAGGAAGAGCGCATCTCCGACCTGGCGAAGCTCTTCTTCAGCGAACTTTCGACGAAGGAAAACGCAATCTACAATAACCTTCCTGATGGTGCGACTTTCGCTTTTCCTCTTACGGCGACGGCAAATAGAACTCATGCGCGATACAGTCATCAGTCACCTGTCCGTAGGAGAGCATGCTGTAGACGAAGAAGTATTCCAAAGCACGATGAAGTACATCTTCACGTTCATAGAGAAGGTGAGCTGGTATGGAGGTCGTCGGCCGGAGAGTGTTTAAGAAACGCCACTTCAGGAACGACAAGCCGAGAATATTGTCGACAAACTATGCCAGAGATTCAGACTGTCAGAGGACCCTCGACAATGGCGCGACATCGCATACTGCCTGTCTCTGTTGCCCTTCAAATCCGAACGCTCTGTCAAGAAGCTCATCGAGGGTCTGCAATTCTATCGTGACAAGCTGCACGAGCCGGCCGTGTACGATCGTTTCACCGAAATTCTCGCCAAGGTACTATGCGCAGCGAGTCTTGTGATATGTTCGTTCACATCATATCCAGGCACGCGCGAACAAATCCAAGGACAAACCGGATCAAGAGCTCAACGAGTTCGAGAAGGTTCGCCGGCATCCCAGCACTTTGTTCCCGCGTATCTAATGTCTAATGCAGATACTTGACGAGCACCGTCAACAAGGCCAGGAGGATCAGGCGCTTGAGAAACGTGCGGAGGGCAAGAAGCGCAAAGCTGCGAAGAAGCAACAAGCCACCCGACGATGTAAGTCGTCCCCGTTGCCATGCCCCGAACTCCGACTCCGAGATGGGCGACATCTGATGGCTATTGGCAGCGACGCGCAAGAAGGCACAGGAAGAGCAGGAAGATATGTACCAATCCGATTAGACCAGAAATCTTCTCACATACCTATCATCTCCCCGTATCAGCAGTCCTTTGCTTCAGGCTGAGCCTGTCGCGTTGTTGTTGTATTAGCACCATGTACATTCCACCATAATATTTTACAGTAAACATCCAGGTAGTCTAAGGACAAGTAACTTATGACGACGGAAAGTCCAAAGAAGTGAGTGTGTAACGACTTCTAACCAGAGTCGTGAGGGAGAGAGCAAAGAAATGGAGCCAAACGAGTGTGATAGGCACCGAGAGCCCAGATAGCAGGGTACAATTCAATAGTAAGGAGTGTGCGTCGAAGGCGAAAGCCGTTCGAAAGGCAATAAATATGGGTAAGACCACCACCGCAGCGCGGAGAATGTGAGCCGATAGTTGCTCAAGCCTTCCAGGAACGGAAAGGAGTGGCGCAGTCCTCCGCCGAAGACCGGCACCAGGAGAGAACAGGGCATGCTGGACAAGCCAAGGTTCGCTCGGCGACTTGAGAGATTGACCGATGCCCTACAAAAGGATCACGGTCATTCTATCTTCTCCTTCGTCTCGGCCTGCTCGGACTTGGGCTTGAACCGCTCGCCGCCTTCTCCTCCTCGCATGATCGCTTTCATGAATGAGAAGAATCGCTCGGCGTATTCATCTGGCGGCACAGGGCTAATCTTGTGCTAAAATTCCACATTCATATGAGCGCTCCATGATCATCAGTGCGACGGTGAGGTAACATACCCTATCGTCTTTCAGCCCTTTCCATAATCCTTCCAGTTTCTTCTTTGTGTTCCATGGAGTCAGGATATCGATCACACCAAGATAATAAATCGTGTCCATCGGCTCATTCGATTCGTCCGTAGCGCGATAGCCACCTTCATCTTGGTAGAATACGAAGTGCTCGCGCTCATTCCGATCAGAGTCAGGCAGTGGGATTTCGCCGTCCAGGTGCTTAAGGTCCGAGCAACGCATTGCTCTACGCATCGCCATGGCCTCCTCGGAGTATGCACCCTTGACTTGCGTGGCCTTGCGCTTCAAATGCGGAACATCGGGCTGTCATCACAATGGTCAGCGGACTTCAGCCTGAGACGGGGTCCGTGGTGCTCACCGAGAACACTCTCAACGTATTCCTCCGTACGTTGTCCTTGTTCCCCCTCCTCATGTTATGGATCCCCACCAGCAAGCTGTAATCCATGACGTTCACTCGCTTCAACAACTCCTTATCCCTCCGAAGCTGCTCCTCCAACAGCGCCCGCTTCTCCGGCCCCAGCTCCAACCAACGACCCCGATTAATCCAATTCAAATCCTTCAGGACCGCCCGCGGCTTCTCCTTGGCCAGCTCCTCGGGATACTCCCGGCCAACGGTGCTGCCCTTCAGATCATACGTTTCGTGAATGTCCTTGTGCGGCGGGAAAAGGTTGTTCATGATCACGAAGTGGATCTTCTTTCCCCGGGGCAGCTTGACCCGATGTAGCCCATAGAAGCGAGAAATGAGCGTATGGGGGTTCTCCTTCACGTGGTGGTAGTACTCTTTCAAGATCGACCGGAGGAACTTGTGTTCGGAGTGGTGTATCGTCTTGATGATGAACCGATAATCACGCGAGAAGTAGAAAAAGGAGCCGGATTTGCCCGGCGAACCGAGCTCTGAAAGGATGTATTTGGCGGTGAGAGAAACGAGGTAGTCGGACGGGTCGAGTTGGAAGTAATCCTCTCGGAGTTCACGGAAGACCCAGGGCGCGTAATCCTTGAATTTGAAGTCATATTTGGCGGAGGGAGTGAGCTCGTTACCGATGCTGATGAATCATGAGCAAGAGACATCGCACATGGAGGTCGTGCTGCACTCACATATCGAACGAGTACTTATGGCAGGCAGTGAAGTCATCGGCCGTGAGAGGCCGTTTGATCTTCGCCTGACACCTCGAGACCTGCAGGATTGGACGTAATCAGCACGACCGCGCCCACATCGCATGCCATCCGCTACTCACCGCTATTCGAATGCCGGTCAACATGTTGTACATCAACACGTAGTTGACGTGGTCCTCCCCGATCAGGTTCCCCACCAGCACCTTAGTCTCGTCCTTGCTCATGCTCCGCGTTAGCGCTGCCTCCGCCTCCTTTTGCGCCTTTTCTCGCTTGGTCTGCCTCTCCAACCTGATCTGCTCAGCCTGGCGCTCGATATCGTTCGCCAGCTCCCCATCACTATCGGGATCTTCCACGTAACCAAGCCCCATGCCCGAGGTACTGACCGCATGTGAACCACCCTGGGCAAGGCGGAGAGGTTTGGAATGTGGTGAACCCGTGGTGTTGCGCCTGCGGGGGGATGCGCGATGGGTTGAAAGGGGAGGTGGCTGCAGGTAACCGTCGGTGGAGAGATGGGCCGACGTCCGGCCTTGCACGCCGCTGCTGCTGCCCACCTGCGAGTCTTCTGTCGGCGGCGTACGCGTGTCGAAGCTGCCCGTGGTGGTATGAATGGTGGCTGGGCCCCCTCCTGAAGATACGGTGCTGATGGAAGCCTCGGTCTCGGTCGCGGCGCGGTGCAAGAGCGAAGCGCCCGGCGCCGAAGAGGCAGCGTGTCGAGGCAGGTATCGCGCCGATCGGACATTGCCGGCACTTTCTCGCGAATCGACGGACGACGTGCGCTCGACGGGGATGTCGAAGGTCACCGGTCTCGTCGTTGAGAGAATGCTCTTCGGGGGCGGCGTCGGCGGCACATCGTCCTCAGGTACCATCCTGCCTGCCGCCTCTGGCTTTTCAGCGCTCCGCTCTGCCAGATGACCATACTCCTTCTCCTTCTCGAGCGTGTCCTCGAATGTATGTACGCTTGCCGGGGGGCTAGGCGGTGGCGGACCGGCCATGCCGACGACCGTCGTCGGCGGACTCATGGGCGGTTCGTGGGCACGCACCGCAGGGATGGTGCGGCCAATCCTGCTGATGATGTTCTCCGAAGGCGCAGAGGAGGCGACGGCGACGGTGTCTCGGGTGACCTTGACGATGTGAACCTCGCCTGTATGCGCTAGCGCGTGGATGGGGTTGACGGCGTCCATGCTGTCGTCGTGGGCGCGCTCCTTGCCCTTCGCGCTATCGTTCGCCGTCCTTCGGCGCAGGGAAGACGTCCGCGACGAGGGTGGTGAGGGGGATTGCTGCGGGGCCCCGTCGACGGGAAAGGCAGAGGGCGCCTGGGAAGTGCGGGTGGAGGAGGTCGACACCCGGCCGAGTAGCTCGTTGTTGTTCGTCAAAGACATGGGGCTCGCGACGACGGTCGACATCGTTGATGCGTTGGAATTGTTGAGTGCAATAATGTTGGTTATTGTGCGGCGGGCTAGGCTTCCATGGACTGGGGGACTGACAGGGAACGAGGAGAGGGTTAAGTACAAAAGTCACGCTCGTGACGGATAACCCGGACGTGGCTATATTCCGCTACCGGCGGCCGATCCTCCGCGCCGTTATTCCGCCTTCCGCCTCCCGCCTCCTCCTTCACTACACCCGCGATACGTACCAGATCGAAAACGAAATGCTAATCACAAACCACTCCTGTTTCAATACATGTCGACAGTAACAAAGCACGCGATACACCAAGTGATCTCAGTCCGCCTCTACCTCCGCACTCCGCCCGCATCTAATTCGTTTGTGCGCCCACGGCCTGTGACATGACAACCATTAACGTTCGTCCTTCTTTCACAGCCCATCGCGAAGGTTATGACGCCAACGGCGCCACAAAGACGTTGTGGCCCACGCCTTGACGTGCCAGGCACAACGCAGACGCGAGCCAAATAACGGTACAGACACTCACCAATCTCTTTAAGTGCTCCATGAACACTTGCAAGCTCACGTCGTCCGTGAAGATGGCTTGGCCTGCACCAGCGCCAGCAGTGCCGTACATGCTCGCGCTCATGTGCGTCGTACTCGGGTTAAGCTTGCTCAGCAAGAACCGGGCCTGCGATCCGCCCTGGTCACAGACGATATATCGCGGAATCGGGAACCGGTCCGCAAGGAGGTCCTATGGCCATGCATCAGCATATCCACCTGAAAAGCCACCGAGGGAGCATACCTGAGCGTCGGCCACGGGCGCCTCGAGGAGCTCCTTGAAGTTTTCATAGCCCTCCTGATCCTGGTAACCCGCTTTTCGCCACTGAGCAATCATCTCACCGTGGAAGATCAGAATGTGGAAGAACGTGTCCAATAGTAGGATGACGTCGGGCTTGATGGATACTGAGTCGAGCAATACGGGTTGCGCCGGCACGTCGAACGTGTACGACATGAGCGTCGGTTGAATCATGATCAACGAATTGTTCACATCCTCCTCGTTCAATATATGTCTATCCCATCCGTCGTTAAGCGTCTTGCTGGCGGTACGGTGTGCGAAATCGCTCACCTATAGAACGCAGTCTCGTCAGGACTGTTGTTGAACACCTGCAAAAACTGGCTTCGTCGGAGATGGAACATGAACTGCGGATAAATCGAGAAGTTGTCCGACAACCTGAAGCTCGTAGGGTCCTCCTTCCTGTAGTCCGCGAACTTCTGGCAGAGGCGAATCAACATCCTGTCGAGCCACCTGAGCACATCGGGCGAGTCGTCGATCTCCGCCTTGAACACCGCAATGCGCGCCATCAACACCGCCGCCGCCTCTTGGTCGAACGACGCAGCAATCGAGGGCGAGCCGGCCTCAGCAAAGTTGCGCGCGATTGTCGTCACCCGCAGCCTGTTCTGGCCCGACGCATGTTGGTAGTGCGTCACGAACTGAACGAGCCCACGCGAGCCGGGCTGGAGCGCCTGGCCAGCGGGCGTGACGACCTCGAAGTAGACCGCGGCCGCCGTGCGTGGGTTGAGCACGTTGACCTTCCACGCCGATGTCTGCCCGATGCCGATCTCGGTCTCGCCGACGCAAGGCGACTTTTTGCCAGCGGAGATGGCGTGAGCGATTAAGCCGGACACCTTGAGCTCTTTCGTTGTCTACAACTGTCGTCAGACAGAACTCTACGAACAGAACCAACAACCAAAACACACCTGGACATCGAACGTAGCGTTGAAGCCCATCTGGAGCTGTCCTTGCTCGTCCTTGTTGAACAACCTCAAGAAGCTCTGCTTGAAGATACTCGTCGCGAATGAATCGCTGAGCACAATCACGCCGTTCGTGCTGTTCGGGAGTGCCTTCATCTCCAGCAAACCGACCTGGTCTAAGCAGCCCGCGAAGAGGTCGACCGCATGCCCGTTGTTGCTCACGCGCTTAGCGAGACCCTCGTAGAACTTGAGAGCACGCTTATAGTGCTTGGCAGTGTCGCGGTCGATGTCGTGGTGGGAGCGAATGGGTTCCTTGAGCTCGTTGCTGACAACCATGCCAGGGCCCTCGGTCGCTGGCCCGCCGGCGAAGAGCATGATACGCGCGCCGGTGTTTGGGAACGTCGTCTCGAGCAAGCCGACGGCGACGCTGAGCGCGACACCCGTGCAACGCAATGGGCGCTTATCGCTCGCCACAGGCCAAGGGTCGCGCGCGAGCGCCTCGAGGATACCGGTCAGCTGCAGCTCGCACTCGGAGACGGGGAGGAGGAAGCGCGCGGCGCCAAAGTTTTGCTGGGGCATCGGCTGTCCGGGACGTGGCGCGGCGCGGTTGGCGGAGGAGAGACCGAGCATGTCCTGGATTTGCTTCGGCGAGTAATCCTTCGCGCCGCGGAAGACGTAAGACTTGGAGCATTCGGCATAACCCAATTCGTGCACTTGGGCCTATGGTCGTGTGAGAGAGTCTCTCATCGCAGATATGCAGTTCAGCGCACCATGGTACCGAAGGTGATGAGACCGACGAGGGCGTAGGGCGGGATGAGAGACAGGCTGACGACGAGCGCATCGCGGAGCGCCTTGAGGTCATCCGGATCCTCGAGACAGGTGTCGACGACGAAGAGGAAGATCGGCGGAACCTGCGCCGGGCGTGCAAGCGTATATTCTATGGTCGTGTACTTCGGGAGGAGCTCGGCGGGGAGGTTGGTGTTCGAAATGTCCTTGTAGTGCGGCGGGAATGAGTTGCGTTGGAGACAGAACGGACATATCCAAAGCTTTCCCCGAATATCAATTTGGCTGAACAGTACGTTATACGTTATGCCGTGGCGGGGTGTGGAGGACGGGATGTTCGTACCAGTATGGATTGAGGACGGCACGACAGGGCGGCTTGCACGTCACGGGCTCATACATAACCGGCGGGAGATCCTCGCGCTGCTTGAGCGGCGTGTACAACGCCGAGATGGGTACCACCGTCCGTGTTGCCTCTATGCGCGACGACGGCCATACGTTCCACGACAGCCTTACGCCTGTTTGTCCGTCCGGCCGCTATCAATACGAGACCATCTGCGAATGATGGACGAGTACTCGCCGTCGCGCTCCTCGACATCTTCAAAGTTGAGCATGGCAGTAGTCGTATATTATCCGTCGTTGCTTGCCGGTCAACGAGTCTGCGTCCTTTTTTGTAGTATGAGCTTGAGTCGACGAACAATCCGAGCTGGCGTGGCGAATTCGAGGACCACGTTGGTATGAAGTCGGACCCCTGTGGGAGAACAGTGATGCATTTGCATTGCCTCGGGGGTCCGATTTTGATTAGACTAGCCTCTGCCTCCGCTAAAAAATCTGCTGACTACAACATCCTCAAGAGTTGGGACCGTCCTAGAGGCGGGCACTCTTTGCGAACGACCACCACTTGCTCAGTGACTACCATGGAGTTTGTACCGGGCCCAGCTGTTCATCGCGTGCTTTGCGCCGACTGTGGTGCGCCCTCAGCAAGCTTATGCACGCCCTGTGACTGACAGTGATCATAGGAACACCCATTGTACCGAATTCTGCCAATCTTTGTGTTGCATGCTTGAGGAATAGGTACGTTCATTACATCGACACGTTTTCCAATGCTTAGGCACGTCTGATCAGTGTCGACATCACCGAAGGGATACCCAAACAATGTGAGCCGGCCTGACGTACCGCGCAGTGCAATCATATCTAACGACTCATGCAGCATCTCTGACCTTCTGCCGGAATTGCGAGCGCTTCTCATCACCTCCCAACGCGTGGATAATAGCACAACCGGAATCGCAAGAGCTCCTTGCATTATGCCTCAGGCGGATAAAGGGACTTAACAAGGTCCGATTGACCGACGCCCACTTCATCTGGACGGAGCCGCACTCTCGGAGGTTACGAGTATCGCTCACCATACAGAAGGAGGTGAGTCTGCCTTTGTTATACGTTGAATCCCCCGTGCCCATATGCCGTATAGGTCCTTACTGCGACCATCCTTGAACAAATCTTCGAAATCGAGTACCTCGTGCAAAATGCCCAATGTCCGGATTGTGCCCGCCTCGCCGCCAAGAACACCTGGAAGGCTGTTGTCCAAGTTCGGCAAAAAGTCCCGCACAAACGCACCTTCCTCTTCCTGGAGCAACTCATCCTCAAGCACGGTGCCCAAAAGGACACCATCTCCGTGAAGGAGACCCGCGACGGTCTCGACTTTTTCTACAGCCAACGCAGTCACGCGATCAAGATGACCGAGTTCCTCACCAGCGTTGTACCTGTTCGTTCCAAGTCATCCGAGCAGCTCATCTCCAAAGACACGCACTCCAACACCGCCAACTACAAGTTCACCTACTCTGTCGAGATTGCGCCCGTCTGCAAGGACGACCTGGTCTGCCTCCCTCCCAAACTCGCGCGCCAACTCGCGAACATATCCCCCCTCGTTCTCTGCACCCGCGTCGGTAACTCGCTCCACCTCGCAGACCCCCAGACGCTCGCTGTCTCTGAGCTTGCCGCGCCAATATACTGGCGCACGCCATTCGACAGCCTCGCTGGTGTGACTGATCTTGTCGAGTTCACCGTTCTCGACGTCGAGCCCTCCGGTCCCACGCGCGGCAAGTGGGTTCTCGCTGACGCGCAGGTCGCCCTCGCTGGCGCATTCCGCTCGCATGCCGAGGATGCCGACGAAGACGCGATGGCGCTCGACGACGATCACGAGCTTGTAGCAGGCCAGAACCAGATCTTCCATACGCGCACTCACCTAGGTGCGATCCTCCAGCCTGGCGATACTGCTCTTGGCTACTGGCTTTCGCATGCCAACTTCAACTCGGACGACTTCTCGGCGCTGCCTGCGGATCGCATACCGGACGTCGTGCTCGTCAAGAAGGCCTATCCGAATCGGCGCAAGAAGAGCAAGGCCCGGACATGGACGCTGCGTTCGATGGCGAAGGAGGCCGCGGACGAGGCGCAGGACGGACGGGGCGTCGTTGGCCGCCTCGGAGGACGCGACCAGCGCAAGGTCGACGAAGACTACGAACTGTTCCTGCGCGAGCTCGAGGAGGACCCGGAGATGCGCGGCGCAGTCAACCTCTACAAGGCGCGCGGGCCGCAGAAGATCAACGCGGGTTCGGGTATGGCGGGTGGCAAGACACGGCGGAAGGTCAAACTCGACCCCAGCGCAGGCCAGATGGAGACTGAGAGCGCGGACGCGCAGATGGCTGAGATAGCGAGCAGTGTGGACGAGAACGCGGCGGATGAGAACGAAGCGGACTTCCCGGAGGTCAAGCTGGACGAGTTGCTGGAAGACTTTGACGAGTTGGCCTTGGGAGACGAGGAGGAAGTGGAGCAGGAAGTATAGTCGTACGTTCCCGAAAACGTACGGAATTTACCACTCCCTTCTACACGGGACCGGTCTGCCAGGCGAGAGTTGGTTGCGCCCTCCGGTTCTGGGTGGGGGGGGGGGGGTTCCGCTCCGCAGTGGCAATTAGCTTGCCCTCGACTTCCGTCGTGAGGTTGACTTCAGGAAACATCCTGGCCATCGTTTCACCATGTGAATAGTTACATGCACGATTGACTGTGCGCGTCCCACTAGTATACACATCCTATCTCAACCTATATCGCGTCGTCGAGCGCAGCTCCAGGGGATGAGTGAACATGTATAGGATGTTCTTTCCCATTCTCCTCTGCTTGTCCACCTCGTTCATCCTCCCCACTGGCGCAGTAAGATGGCCCCGCGTGGCACTTGATTCGTTTGTCCCTGTCACAGGCAGCATTTGGGCAGTCCACAAGCATTGTCATAATGTGACCTTCAGAAGCGTAGTGTCGTCCGAGGGCAGGATGAGTCCCATGAGTATGGCCCAGTCTGAACGACCGGTTTCCTCGATCAACTCTTTCGCCATGTCCGATCTCTTCGCGTACTTCTTCGGCCCCTGGCTTACGAAGACCCGGCGTCCAAACATGCGTAGTTCTTTCGTTAAGGAGTTGCTCAGGCCGAGCAAAGCGACCGAAATGAGGAGCACAGCGGCGATGAACAGACTTCCTACAGTCGAGGAGTTGCCGGTAAGGGCTGCGGCGACATAGACCAAAAGCGTGGCAAAGGATGACGCGAACCCTTCTACGGTGGTTTGCTCGCGAAGCCATTGACCTGAACCATGGTGAGCTGGTGCTTGAGTCAGTGGAGAGTAAGGACTAACCTGCTGTGACAGCCTTGAGATCATCCGCAAGACCTTGCATGCGCACCCATCGGTCCTGGCTGAGCAACACCAATAGATCGGCTCTCACCCCCGGCTCGGGTGTGCCCTTCCATCCATCGTGGGCGGTGCGCCTTCTGATCACGGCAATATTCAAGAAACGGGCAAATGCGAGCATCAGCAACACGCCGAGAGCCCAGAGGTCACGTATAGACCCGAGGACGGCTATGGTCGTAACGGTAAGGACGATGCATGAGGAGTACAGGAGAGATGGGAAGATCGCATCCTTGCGGAACACCTCTCGGGTAAGAGCACATAGGTTTGGAGAAGTATGAGAGGCATCCGGGACGACGGTGACGGTGACAAGGCACCCCAGTTCCCCAACCATCTGCAGATAGCTGATCACAGCTTGATTGTCTATCCGGAAGACGTGTCCGGTAGTCATTGCGCCGGTCGTAGGCAATTCGCCGCCATTGACATTGCTCGCTTCTTGCTGAGTATGTATCCCTGGCGCCAGCACGAGTACGTCGAGATAAGACGCCGAGCCTGTAAGGGCCGTTCGACGCGAAATGGTCGAAAGGTCGGCCAAAGCCACAAGGCCAGCAGCGTCAAGGGAAATGCCTGTGATAGAGTTGTTGTGCAAGCGCATTTCCGGATAGGCTCAGAGAAGGACATGATGGCGGCAGTATTATATAGGAAAGCTGCCTCAGGGCTTTTCACAAGTTCTGTCCATCAGGCATACCGTGTGATAAGTGATACGATGAACATCGCGGGGCAGTTCAAGTTGCATCCCCTTCGCCGCAGCCTATGCAGTGACGGCACTCACTCTCACGCCAGTGAACGTGGCCGGCGTGACGGAACTTGCCAGGCGGTCGGTGTGATTGGTTGTGAAGTGACCATTACGTGACGTTACATACTCTGATTGTAGACCGTCATACAGTCGAACCTGTCTTAACCCATACCCGTGATAAGCCATAATCTGTGATATCCCATAGCAGAAGGCATGTTTTAGGTAAAACCAGCTTTAAAAGCCATATATCTGTGAAACTCAATAACCTATAGCACTGTGAGAATCCATAACCCATAATTACCATATATAGGGTGTATTTTTGACTGCCATGGATGCCCTTTTCGGCTACAGTGTTCAACCACTCCTTGATGCAGTCACGTGAGAGGGTCCATAGCGCCTGCAATTCCGCAGTTCATGGCAAAGTAAGTATCTCATATGAAAGCTGCGAGCTGTAGCATCCTGAGGAATATTTTTTGGAGCAAAACGAACCGGAGGGCAGCGTCAGTGAGGCATTTTGTAAACGAGGTCGCCAGGTCGCCTCTATCACTCCTTGATGCACCGCTTACTGATGCCTCCGGTTACCCGGTGTGACTGTTCGAGTCACAGAATGTATTGGCGCGCGGTCAGTTGGCCGACGCGCGTCGGGCTCAGATGGGGTTCAAGCCTGAAAATGCAAGCTATGGACCCGGCATCGACGATTTGGAACTTGGTGTCATAGCAAAAAATGTAGCCAGGATGGTGTTTCATAAGGAAGAGTCGAAAAAATGTGACTGCCAGTGATGTTGAGAGCAGTTCAGGGCCCAACTCCTTAGCGCAATGTGCCAGAATGTTCATTCTCAGGCACTCGATGATTTTTCAAAAATCGACCATTTGCCCCACGGACTAGAAAACTTGATACATTCTTGCAACAGTATGAAGGTACACTCTGAATTAATTATAAGAGGGTTCAGAGCCAGTGAAAGGCGGGAGAGCCGATTGCATCAAGGAGTAATAGTGCATCAAGGAGTGATTCAACACTGTAGTTCTCGCTTAAAAGCTTCATCACATGTCAGGAAACGTCAGATTCCATTGACCTGATGTAGAAATTTTGAGAGAAACCCCCTGAGAATTGCCCGAAAAGGCGTGGCTGTGTACACTCTGGCTGCATCATGTATCCATGTTGCAGGTCCCAAACTCCCACTTAGATGGCTCACCAGCACCATAACTCATGCAAGCACCACCGGAGATAGCCTGGAGGGTGTTTCACAATATATTGATAGGGGGATTACCATAATAGGTGAAAATACCCAAAAATTGAATATTCCAACAACCCATACCCGTGAAAACCCATACTGTTTTGGCTTGCACTGAGGGTATGGGTTAAGACAGGTTCGACTGTACTTCAAGATCATCTTTACGTGTTGTCTCGCAGATCGCTCTCGGACGACCCCTGGCCCTTGCTTCCTCCCTGCATATATATACATATACACCTGGTTGAAGCTTCGAATTCTAAGTTCTTGTGCTCGTCGTCCCCCCACACGAGACCCATATCGCCCCATCCCCGCCCAGGATGGCGAGTGCATATCGGATCCATCCCTAGGACGCGCACGTCCAAACACCAACGGCGTCATCCGAGAAACTGCTTGGGCAGGGAAGACTGACGTTCGTACATGGCATTGGTGATGCACACTCTCGCGGACCATCGCCGCTCCGAATGTCTCTATCAGCGGCGTCGTGTCCCCGACGCTCAAGCACCCATCCTCGTAGACCGCCGGTGGCATATCACGATCAACGTTGCTTGCGATGTGCGGGTCAACTGAACCTTGGGCACAGGGGGTCTGTTGGCAACGGCGCGCATCGCGTATGCTATCATTTTAATTGAATATGCGCTCCGGCAGTCGTGGAACGTCCAAGAGCGTGGCGGCGGTTTGTTCATCACAGAACGTGTCCCTTCGCGTAGACATCCGCCGCTCTTATCCTTCAAATCGAGGAGTGCTGAACCGATGCCTCACGAGGAGACCGGAATCCGGCCTGGACCGCTGCACTGCGCATTGCCTTGTAGTGCACTACCTGTCGTCCCTCCACGACTGACGACAGTAAGTGAATTTTTCGCATCAGCCCTCTCGCAGGGTGTATATTTCTGTGATACCTGCGCTTCCAGAGGTAGATTTAGCGTACACTCTAAACACGGACCTTCAGCATGCACTATATGCATCAGATATCCAGATATGATCATACCTGCCGCAGGCTCGATTTTGTGTCTGGAACTTATTTCGCGTTTTAGCATTCAGCGATACAGCGTCATCATCGGGCTCGTCTAGAACATACCTGAATTCGTCTCCCCCAGTCCGGCTCATGTGCTTCCGTTAACCGTCATATATAACGGTGGCCGCCTGCCGTGAATGGGCCACCACGATGGAAGTCGTGGCATTTTTTCTTGGACCACTTTGACCCTTGGCTTCGTTAAGGTCCACTTGCGTCCGCATACAGTGCATGCGAAGGAAAGCTATGACTTATAGCCAAAGATCCGTGGCTCGAATATTCATCCCGCGTCTGAGGTGGACGATCGCAACCGTGGCCACAGAACAAAGCATGAACATTGGAAGGATCGACTCGGGCCACTGCACCCACATTCTATGCCTGCGTATATATGGACATAGGACACGAAGGTCTATGAAGCAGAAACCTCTCCTTTCCGTCGGCTAGCTACGTTTCCTCGACTCCGCTCCTTTCATCGACAAAGTTGCTCATTATGCTCAGCGAGTGGACAATCTTCGAAGATGATGCTCCCATGGACGGCGCCGACACCCCCGGCCTTGAGATGGACGCCACAGGATTCGCAACTGAGCCTGCTGGAAATTCGGCGGGCCCATCCGACTCGCTGGCGAACATGCTTCCAACAGACGAGCAAGCAGCTATGTTGATCGTCGAAGCGTGTGGTTATGGTCTGGCGCGGACGTACACATCCCAGCCTTTACGGCGCGTCGGCAGCATCCCGCAAGAACTGAAGCGACAGTACTCCATTGAGGCGAGACGGGTCTCGACTCAGGATGAGAGGGCTTACGAGCAGAGATTGGACCTGATCCAAGAGCTGGAAGAACACGTCGAAGCCCAGCAACTTGAGGTCCTCCCCGAGCCATACTCCGGCGATGTACGAGTACCCCAGACACCGCAACGTGGACAGGTACAGAATATATCACCATCGTATCTTCCGTGTAACAGGCTCTGATCCGTTTTCATGAACGTAGACGGCGTCATTGAGGCCGATCACAAGTCCTCCGAACTGCAAGGCCGGAAAGCGCAACCGCCGGCGGGCAAAGAGCACGAGCGGAACCCCAAGGCGCGCAAAGAGCACGCAACGAAAGGACGCGATCCTTGGGGAGAAGGAACCGTCGCCGCGGAAGCGCAGGGCCAGCGTGTCGGCGAAAATGCAAGATGAAGCCGGCGAGAACGCGTCCCCGCGCCGCTCTACCCGCCTCGTGGAGAAGTATGGCTCGAAACCATGGAGCGTGGTCCTGCAGAGCCCGAAGAAGGCGGTATAAGATTACGACTTGTGCCGCAAGGAGAGAGGTCGGCGTTTCACCGCCGATATATGCATTGATTGTGAGCTTCTTCGTACTATCACCATCGCTGGACGTATGGCGCTTGTATCATCTAGTGTATTCACCCTCGTTTATTCATCGATCTTTCCGGGAGGTGCAAGGAACGGATCAACCAAAAGCTCTTCAAGCAATGGTGACGACTCCTCGGAGGTGAATTTGCCACGGAGCTAGGACATCCGTCTAGTTCCATATACTATTGAGAGCAGCTTTGCAGCGATGTACTCCTCTTCCGGAGCGAGCAGAAATCCATCCAGGGTGAGCGTCGACGTAGTTGTAGTAGAGTACATAGCAAGAAGGATCCGGATTACGGTCTTCAATATGTCAACACACAACATATGGGGAGCTTGGCCACGTACGTTCCGGCGGGAATACGTGCGATCTTCGCCGCTGACGCGCTTGCCAATGCCCGGCGAGACGCCCGTTTCGGCCAAGTGCCGTGTCCGTTTTCTCGGTTGACGACGCCCCCGTTGAGGTCGCCGCGCCCATCCAGCATCTCAGGAATATTGTGGGGAAGAGCAAGTTGGCTGGGCATTAATCACTACGTGTAAGTATGCCTTGATACAAGACGGGAAGAGTCGTGATGGAAATACGATCATGGCTTGGTACTCCACTGTCTGCTTGAAACACTAGACGTTACACCGTACAACGGTACTTCGTCGACAGCCACCCGAGTGATGCTGCAATGGCGGCGCAAGTGAAGCAGGTGCCGACGTATATGATCATTCGCTCGAAGCGTCCGCCCCCAACCTCGTATCCCATCCTCAAATGAGTTATCGTGTGTCCAGGAGAGTCGTTATACATTGAGGTCGATATTGGGGTCGATACGATGTTGCCCAGCCCTCTCGTCAGTAGCAGGAACCCGAAGATGGATGTGTGCAAAGTAGGATCGTCCTCTAGGGCAACAATTAAGTTTAGCATAAACCTGAAACAGCGAATGGTCTTACTGCATAACGGTCTAATGAAGCCGGACCATGTGCTCGTCCAGCCCCCGGCGATGGTTCCATACGCGACGCTGAAGACGAAGAGACCCACCATCGAGTGAGCAAGGACGCCCCATAGTACGAACACGGTCAAGGATGCGAGTGTCAGAAGTGCGAGCGCCAGTAGCCATGAATCCACTCTATCGGAAAGGGCGCCCATGCCAATACGACCCACCACCGAAGAACCTTACGACGCTGAAGATTAGTGGGCTACATAGAAAGTATTCCAAGGTGACACACCATTCAATAATGCAAGAGAGAACGCAGAGCTTGAATCGCTCAACTGTAAAGCGGAGGCGAATGCTGGATAGGTGTCAGGATGCGACCCGCGAATGTCATGACATAACGTGCTCACTCGGCAGCCACGTCATAGGCACAAAGTACGCGAACGCCTGGATGGTGTTCACGAGCAGCATTAGCCAGAAAATATCGGTCTTCAGCCACGATCTATCGAGCGAGCGTGCTGCCGGGCCGCGGACGCGATTCTCCGGAAGACGCGGCTTCACAAACGGAAGCAAAGGGATCAACAGCACGACCATCGCGATGGAAAGAATGCGGAGCGAAGTTGCAACGCCATACTTCCTGAGAAGCGGGGGTAAGACTAGGGGTATAACAAGACCCCCCAGAGCAGTTCCTGGGAGAAAACGGGTTCAACGAATGGAAATAGTTTAGATTAGTCTCTGAACAGATACCGGCAAAGATGATTCCATTAGCGAGGCCTCGTCTGTTGACAAACCACTCCGACAGAAACGAGATGCATGGCGCGTATAGCAACGTCCCTCCGATGCCATACAACACGCCCTGCAAGGCGACTAATACCACAACCTGCCTCAAATAAGCGAGTGATTCCATACGAGCAGGCTGGACAAGGATTACACCACACCTGTGTCGCGTAGCTAGCCCCGAACAAGCTCGCCCAACATAACAAAAGGCCAATCCATAAGGCGGGGCGACGCTGCTGTGGATAGCGTGCTATCCATGGGTATATAACGGTCCCTGAGCAATATATGATTCCTGAAGAACGGCATATTGACGAAAATGCATAGCGAGGGTGGATGGATCATCACTTTACCTGAGGATAATGTGCCGATCAAGGGCAACAGTGTCGACGAGTGCTTTTGGTCCCTGAAACGTGGACCTTCGGTGTACGACACCAAGAAGATACCGTAGGCCGTAGGGAACCCCCAAACCAACGTTTCTACCAAGAACGCGCCAGCCAACTGCAAGGATCGAAAAACGCTCGGTTCACCGCCATTCGATACTGAGATTGAACTCACAAATGACCAAGCAGATGTTCCACAATCTACAGGAGCAAGCGCCGTTCCATTGCGTCGTTCTTCGGGATGTTCTCAGTGTCGTCATCAGGCAGGGCTTCGAGAGCGGCAGATATACCATCATTATTGAGGTCCAAATTGCTCTGACCCAATCTGAGGGAGCCGGGTGACTGAGGCCGGGCTATCATCGCCAGCTCTACTCGTTCCGGTGTCTGAGATACCAACATAGGCATTCTGTGCGAAGACCCAGCAATGGTATTGAGTGATCAAGCGTCTGTCTGGTCTCATCGTGAGTCACGAAAGTCTACGGAGGCTGACGCGCCTCAAATGAGCACACGCCACCGGCGCGTCCGGACGCGAGGTGACGTAAATACACTTCTTATTATATTACGAATAATTGTACGACCTACCTGGTATTACCTACGAGTGCTCTACAATGTCTGATATTCCATCCTGTTCCACCTTTTGATAATTGGCTACACCAGAATCGGACGACTCTTCCCCAACCATCTGCTGGCGATGGGCCGATAATGCCTCTTTCCTCTCTATTCGACAGACGGTGCTTCGCCTACCCATCCAGCATCGCTCCATTGCTTTCCTCCGGCGCCATCCGGAACGGAGCCATGTTCTTCCAGTTCCCGTGCTCGTCGGGACCGTACCGCTCAACCGCGACAATATAACACGGCAAGCTCTTCTTGCCCCCGGTCAGATGGCGCCTGAGCGAGTATTCCCGGCGGAATTCTTTGAGACAACCAGGGCACTTCAGCTGTGGCGGGAAGTGCGTCAACATGTGGCGCCGGTGGTCATTCAACCTGCCCGACTGATGGTTGCAGATATCGCAGATCAGAGGACTTGCCCGGCCGTGCTTCTTCTGCTGGATCGGAGCGCTGGGAACGAGCTTGAAGTCGGAGTCCTTGGCAGGAGCGCCCGCAGGGACGGGTTCGTTAGCGCGCGAACGCATGGGGACAGCAGCGACGATTGGAGCGGACTTGAACGTGCAGCCTGGTTTCAGCGCGATCGGCGAAGCCGGCTGGGAGGCCACTTGAGGGTGGAACTGCACAGCCTGCCCCAGGTCGCCGATAGAACCGTCCTTCGGAGTCGGCGCAACCGCCTGCATAAGGCGTTTCTTCAAATTGCGCTTTGTAGTAGCGTGCACATTGTTGGCGATGGTGGCCGACCTGAGACCGCGAGCTCCCTTGCGCTTTGTTTCCTTTTTGTTAATGATACTTTTGCACTGAGAAAGAACGGACACGTTGACGGAGTTCAGGCCGCTCATGATCTGTGCGGGCATGGAAACAGTGATCTCATTGTCTTTCCCTGACTCCATCTTGAGATCGGGATCGGCCACGCGGGTACCCGTAAGGTTCGATCGCTCATAGCTAAAGGGAACAGGCACACGATCGGGCTGCTGAGGGGCAGGTCAGGGAAGCATTTCAATTATATAGCAAGAATACACTGACGGGATCGGAAGGGCCATCCTCGTATAAGGAATGAATAACCGCCGGCAGATCCGCGTCCCGCAAGATCGCCAGATCCTCCAAGTCCAGAACGAGCTGCTGCAGCTTGTCCTGGGCACTTTCATCCGGCAAAGAAACACTTCCGAGCAGGTCATCGTCCATCGAAGCGCGATTCGCTAAGTCATGGTGAGCCACTCCGTCGCGGTCCGCAGTTGAGACCGGTTCCTGGAGGATCGAGTAACCCAAACATCAGCCATGCTGCGTAGGGATCGAAGCCTCCGAGTCTCAGACATACATTGTGGTTCGCTAGAAGATGAATCTCTTCGGCAATCGCCAACATTCTGCAGTCCATACTGTCACGGCGAACGCGACCGACAAAGACCCTCGTAGAAACAGTGAACTCCAAGGCAGCTGGCTAGCTGCTTTCAACCTGGGAGTTCGCGTACAAGGATACAATGGAGGTCGGGGGCCGGCATGGCCTGCTAATAAAGGTCGGTCGAAGGGGCCACCGAGGCATTGTGAACAACGGGGCCACCGAGGAACGCTGCAATGCGTGAACGGCGGCAAGGCATCAATTAAGGATTTATGTGCAAAGCAATGTCGGCGCTTGCTTTCTGCAAAGGGGAAGATCGTAGCCGACAATGCAACGCACGATCCGAGTTGCTCGAGAGCCCCGAGTGGTCTGATCAAGGGATCCGTCAGGCACTCCGCGCATTCGGTCGCCGCTCAAGCACTCCATCTTGGCCGACTTTGGCAAAGCATCGATACGGCACAGCGCAGGGCATGAGTTGCAGCAGTATATCCGGGTGGTGCATGAGCTTTGCAGTGATCGCGAAGAGCGAGCTAGAGCGAGGCGAGGTCGTGGCCACACGTGGGAATATCGTCCTCTCATCTTCGCGCACTGATCGGACTGAAGTCACTGAACGGGAAGATCATACAGGTATATTTTACTTGTACTCATTTGCTCATTATATCGACGTGAGCTATGTATATACCGACCTGGAGTACGTATTGCTGGAATCTACCACTTGAGGTAAGGGAGAAACTTCCCGCTGCAGGAAACTTAGACGTGAGGGAAAGTAAACACATTGACATGGAGAGCTTACTCAAATGTCAGTAATACTCGATCGCCCTTCGGGTCAGGTTTCTTGTCGACGGTCACACGACAGTCAATCAGCGACATTATGCCGTCACCAAACTGCATGACGGAGATGAGCGCCTCAACCTGAGGAGCGGCAGATGGCACACACCTTCTCGTGAATGACAGCCTTGATAGGTTGACCATAAACCATCACGCCCTATTGCGGCAGATTGGTCAACCATGCGATACGCGGGCGGGAAGGAGGGGCGAGAGCACTTACCTCGTACAAACGGTAGATGACAGGATCCGACGGCGGCATGGGGCCGAGACCGCGCTGCGGCCACCATGCTTCACCGATGGATTGTATGTCCGCGGAGGCAGGCAGCTCTAGGAGCGCGGCGAGTTTATCAAGTTCGGCCTTCTCGAACCTAGCCTGCGAGCAGTGGTCAACTGCGAGCTTCACTACTGATGTCGAGATCGCCAGACGGACCTGACCCATAAAGGCTGCTGCAGTCCACACTTCGTCTTTGCCTATCGCTTTGCCTATCGCCTCATAGCTCAGGCCTATAGCGTCGCGTCATGGATCAATCAGGGATAACATAACCTTCAAGTGCATGTCAGGGACTCACCCTTGCGCTTCTTCGCGTGCAGCAACTCCTGATAAATCGGCGGAAGTGCACCGAATGGCTGGGAGGGGGTCTGCGTCGTCCTCCGGATCGCAGAATGGGTGAACGCCCGAGACGTCGGTAGCTGCGAGTATATCGCCTGTCCAGGCGCGGACAACAAGGTTAGGCGGGACGCGCGGGCGAAGAAGGACATGGCGACGGTTATAGACCCTGCGATGATGATGGTCCGAGCGAGAGCTGTGGGTGGGCAGGTCTCCCGCCGCCATTGGGCGCCATAACTGTTAGCCTCGAGAATCGCTCACGGGCCGGTGGGAGATGGTGAACGCGTCTGTCGAGTGCGAGGCCACGTGAACCAGCTGGGGGGATACTCAATTCCGCCCTTGGACGGCGGCTCGTGCACTGCTGCTACGACCTTTGTTCACCATCCATCACCTTGGAGCTTGCGTGCTTCACGATCGGGGAGTTTGCAATATATGACCTCATAGCATTCTCGAGGCGTGTTCTATCAATCATGCAACTTTAGCTTGAAGAATCACATCCGCCATGGTTCGCTGCAAAACTGTGACCTCGCGGTTGGAAAAAGAGTTCGGCTCTGCCAGCCCCCGGCCGCCTTCCTGCTTCCCTGTATGCGTCTTACAGCAAACGTATGCCGCGTTGTTTACCTATGCTAAACCCCGAACCTCGTGGGGCTTAAAGAACATGGTGCATGGAGTGGAGGCTGGTCGATTCTGTCCGCTCAGTCAATCAGGACTGTCAAATCCAATTGGACATTCGAACATGTTGTGGATCATCCACGCCATACTGCATTTCCGGTATAACCACCCCATCCGGCCTACTCATTCGTGCCCATACGCTTTCGCTGATCTTCTGTAGACTCTGCGCCGTTTCTTGCGATGGAAAGGCTCACCCGGCCAGCGAACCGCCAAAAGGACCCGCCCTGCACGCACACTCGCGTCGCCAAAATATTTGCCAGCGCTCAAGCATCCGCCGCCTCCCATAGCAGAAACTGCGTCGCGCTCTCCCAGCTTCACGAAAGCGACTGCCGGCGCAAATGCTCAGGTGCAGACCCAGAAGAAGACAACTTCACCGCCCTATTCCTTGAGATGCTATCACGCGTCCTGGCTACGAAGAAGGGTTACGTGTTCGGCGATCGTATCGTCAAATTTGTTGCAGTTTATATAGCGCACATAAATAAGAGCGGTGCGTTACAGACTTCATCAACCGCCTCTCTGCTCGCTCACTGCATCGCCTCTAGCCCGTAGCTTCGCTCATGCCTTCACGCTCGATGTTCTTCAGTGGCTCAAACCCGGGTGCTCTGCCAAGAACAAAAGCGTGAGGTATCGCGTAGTGCACGTCATCACGGAGATCGTAGCGCATTTACCTACTGGGATCAACAAGTAAGAATCTGAGCGTGTAGGAATGCCGATTGCTGACTCATAGCTACAGATGTGATATCGCCACGAAAGTATGGCAGGAGATGAAGGAACGGGCGGAGGATGTGGAAACATCTATCCGCATGCTCGTCTTGGTATTGCTCTGTAGTCTCTGCGACGACTTCCAGAGACAAGGCGATCACAATACACTCGCTAACATCGAGGTCGTTGTTCACTATAGCCTCGCCAGTGATCCGTCTGCGTACGTGCTCGAATGAGCATCTGGTACTGGTTGACTCACCTTATGCTGTAGGGATATCCGTCAAGCCCTCATACAGTTATTGTAACGGTAGCAGTAGATAGATAGTTATCTAATCTATTGGTTACCGATAAGATAAGAGCTAGGTTCTTTGATCAGTCGGCGAGGCCTTTCGGTTTGAGTAAAACGATCGTAAATTCAGTGAGTATTCAATCTATCTAAGGATGCTTCATACAACGAAGCACTCAATAGAATAAATCAATTACTATCTAAGTTGTACACGGGAGCTCCGAGAGCTCGGGAGGCGCGCTAAGCGCCTATCTTATACTTGCGAGTATGAGTCAGATGAGTCAGCGTACGCAGATGCGACGCTATCCTACGATAAGCTACGCTATTCGGGTGCGTTCTACATGATTCTACTTACTTCTACTCAGGTCTGTTACACTACCCTCCGGTAAAAAGAGAGGATCGTCCCGATCCGTAGTAGTACATACAAAGTAGTTAGAAAATGAGTCCATTCGAAGATACAAGTGTCCTAAGTCGAGAAAGGAAAGAATAGTCCATACTGAAGGCGTCCGAGATGCCGGAAGGCGCAGGCAAAGTCTATGTCCCAAAAGGGACGGGTAATTTCCTATTTTGGTATCGCTTAGACGCGGGACCGAGTCCTTGGGTCGCGTACGCGTTCTGCGTGCCCTGTAAACCGATCGAGCCAGACGCCGTGAACTCCCTGGTACTGGGGAGCATGAAGACGAAGCTGGCGAGCGAGACGAGGGGAGATAATAGGACGAGGGGTGATATTTGAGGTATGGCCCCAATAATGGTCGACAGCGCGGTTTCCTGCAGGATAGGAACCGATATTGATGTCACGGACCCAATCATGGGGTCCTGAGCCGATGCGATAGTCGATAGCGTTGTCGAAAACATGATGGTCAAGTATCTTGAGGATCGGCTTTCGCTCGAGGATGAGATTAGCATGACGAGC